TCGTATATCCGGTTTCAGCCTTTCAACCGGATATAAGGTGATCTAACATCGCCCCCCTGTTATTCAACGTATTTGTATTAATTCATGAGCAAGAAAGGCCATACAGGAGTAACGAGAGCAGACTCAATCTTTCAGATATGACAAGACAAAATTCAATCCGCTTCTCATTATCATCATAATTGAGTTTGTGGCATGGTCTAATTCTGAAATCCCTATATTTATATTTCTTCAAGGTATGTTGAACAAAATAATAGCTGAAACCAAACTCTCTCACTGCATTTCTTATTGAACGTGAAGGATCCTCAACAAAATACTGGATTACAAGAAGTTCCTCGTCTTCGTTGTCTTGCCTTCTCACTATTCTCTTGATATTCGACAAACTGGAAGTTCTGTCAAATTTAGCAGCCAAATACTTTACATAATTCTTACTTGGTAATTTCCTGCCTGGATAACTCCTCATATACTTACGAAGTGTTTCAGCAAGATTTTTATCAACTGAAAAATAACACTCCAAAATATCTCTTCTTTGTTCCAGTGGATATGGCATCGTGAAAAAATTGTCGAAATTTTGCGCACTTATGTCACTGGAATGTTGACCAAATGTCAATTCACTTATTCATCATCTCATTCTATTTCAACCATAGCTAACTTGGACCAAATATTAATATTTAGTTTTGCTGATATTTCGTCAAGTCCTCGATAGAATATATGAAAAGTATATATTTTCAAAATCAGGAAAGATAGCTCTTTCGAAATATGCGATAATATACAGGGGGTTCCATTTGAAAAAAAAATTTTTTTCACAAACCCTGTATATGAAATGATGAAATCAAGCAGAGAACACATTTTCTAGAAGGAAATGACATCTCATTCAAGTACCTTTTTCTAAATTTTAAATATCTTCTTTCGTTTTCGAGATATCAGCTGTTGAAGTCGAGAAATCCATAGTCAATCACCCTGTACCTATAAGTCATGGGTACATACGTCAAGATATCCACTTAGGAAGATCCCCAGAATCTAGCTTGACGAATTTTTCTCACATTAAAAATTCAGAAACTGACTCATGTGGTCTCAAAAGGCGATCGAGAAACCAGAGCCGCCTCCAAAAATAACTGGTTTCCAATTTGAAGAACGCGACGGACTTATAGAAGTTATTTCTTAATGAATGGCATTCTCAATATGATATCGGTACCCCCCATATATTACGTCTTTCTCTTTCTCTCTAGCTATAGGTACATATACAAAATGTTACGAGTACATTTTTCCCACGCCTCGACAATACCAGGTACCGTTCGAAATGCAGGATAGCACGCTTTTTCTGCTGATAATTCGTCATCACGTCGTGAATTTTATTACCACACAATCCACTGAGAAACTTGCAACCTTAGACGATTCAGGGCTCCCAATTCTTTCAGTCAATCAATCAATCAATCTAAATATACTTTATTGTCTGTAGAAAAAAAATTCTCATTGACAAAGTCATACATATACATACATAATGAAAGAGATATACCTAATATCACTGTATCTATAGCAAGAAAGTGATGCTACAATCACACTCATACTAATGAAAGAATAATAATAAAAGAAATGAAAAAGACAGTATCAATACGTTCATCATTCCAGATTTTTTGGGATTTTCTCTCTTCGTTTCTACAAAATAAAAATATGAATATCATTTCAATATACGTGTAGTAAGGACAAATCAGATGATTTGCCCCAAAATGTCACTGCGTTTCAAGAATTTTCCTGTCAGAGAGCCTAAAGGAAAAATTCACTAATTTGTCAGTGACAATTTGTATTGAAAAAGGTTTGGGGAAGAGAAATAAAGATATATAGAAAAAATATCAAATTTTCACTTATCTTTGGACGTACGGGACCGAATCTGATTCCATTTTCAAAATAAAAAATGTTTTTCTCCGTTTGGCAGCAAATATTAATTTTGCTGACACATATCAATCAGCAAAGTATTACTTTTCCTGCCTAGGCAGCAAAGTGGTTACTTTGCTGATTGATATGTATCAGCAAAATTAATAATCCATTAATCGTTTATAATTGCCTTCATATTTCATCCGAGACTTCTCCGGCAACAAATTCAACTCTATATTTTTTGCCACCTCCCTTATTTCTGGGGGAGTAAGTACTTCCAGATCGCTATCACTGTCCATTATATAATAATTCAAATATACCGATATTTTTTTGCACAACTTATGGACATTTCCATAGCAACCAACCATTCCAACAACTGCGATTTCTATCAAATTTTATTTAAATTGAACACTACAGGAAAAATAAAGAGATTGTGGGAATTGTAATAATGTGCAAATACAATATCCTCCTGTATCATTATGAACAATCGGAGAAAAAATTATATGTTCAACTCGGCAGCAAAGTAGATTGACTGCCTTAGCTGGATTCCTAGCCTCGCTACGCTCGGCTATGAATTCAGCCTCGGCAGTCAATCTACTACTTTGCTGCCTAGTTAAACAAATAATAACTATTTTTTGAATAGCAAATTTGCGAGCAAATTTGTATCTGTCTTGCTGTAAATCATGAAAAATCAACCTAAAACTATTCCTCACAATTGTATAAATCGAATTATTAAACTAGCTTCCAATAAAAAATGCCAGTTAACTTAACTAAAACCTATTTTTCTCATAAACTCCTTCTTCCACTTGCCCTTTCAATTTTGTATTGGCTCCTTATACTATTGCTTCAACCGAGGAGACCACTAACTCATTTTGAACTCTTGTGTGGCTTGTCATTGTTTCACAATAAGCCCCTCATTTATCTCGCGTATTATATGATACTGGAGTAGAAAAAATTGTACCCATATTCTGTTTAAACCTTCAAATATCGAAGTTTTACCTACAGACCAGACCGGATCTACTACCTGAATTTATCCCCCTCGGTAAATCGGGACAGCTGTGGTTCTCCCCGCCATATTGCAGATAGGAAGCACCACCTGGTTCGCTTATAGGGGAAGATGCATCCACCCCTCAGCATGGCGTTTCTTGCAGATAAAACTGCACATGCATCCACGGCATATGCGATTATTTAGTTTACCTGTGTGTTTTGAAATTTTCGAGATCTGCAGCGCATCTGTTTGGTGTTTAGCTTGAGAACAGAGTTTTAGACAAGAGGAAGCAATATGCATAACAACCCTAAAATAAATTGAAAATCAGGAAAAGAGATAGAGCTCACAACTCCACCACATAATAGATATTTCTAACTAGTTCCACGGAAAAAAATGATTTGTTGCATCAACAAATTATTTATGCTTTAATTATTTTTGTTGGTTGTTGATTATTTCGTAGAAGCAGCTTGTTCAAATCAAGAATTCAGTTTAATTGAATCAACAGTATAATATCAATACCATCAACAAAATATATGGTTATCTCAATAAAAAAAATTATTTTGATCCAAAATAATATCGATGTTAATTAACATATATACATTTTGTAGATTTAATGAAATAATGATCATTTTGATAAGAATATATCTTTGAAACAACATACAACTCTTCTTATTCTGATGTAGCAATGAACTCGCTTCTAACGGATGATTTGTTTGAATAGAAAGAATTATTTTGTTCATTCAACATCGAGTTGAATTTTCGCTACTAGATGACTCGTCTTTGCCTGCCTCGAATTCATTGTATGTATACGTGAAGCCTGATTCTTCGTGTTTGAAATATCAGATGGATAAATCGAATTTGGGATGCTTAGCAATCAATCCAAAATAGCTTTGCATCAGCTGAAGAGTGAAGAGAAGTATAGACTGGAGATCTATGCTAGAAGACGACTACTCTCCTAGTTTAATTTTTTGTTCTATTGATGTGAAATTTCAGAAAATTCCCGAATTATTGCTGAATTTGGTTGAACAAAACTGTTTGTCGAATTGAAACTCGAATTAAAATAGAAGTTCTCTTGAATCAACGAAATATTCAATCGAATCAACAAAATATTTCATTGAAACCACCCTCGAAACCACCAAATATTTCATTGAATCTATCAAACATTCAATTGAATCAACAAAATATTTTTGTTTGAATCAATATCTTGTCATTTTGAATTAAACAAAAGCATTGTTTGAGCCAATTCAATATCTCTTCAAAAACAATTCATGGATGTGCTTGATTGAATAAGATCCAGAGTCATGCAAGACATATTTACTTGATTCAAACTTCAAATTCGCTCTGAATCAAAATATAGATTTACTCATTTCAAGATTATATTTTATCGTGCAAATATGACACCTTTATTCGCTTCATTCAATTAAATTTTGCTTGATTCAACTATTCCTTTTTTTCCGTGTACGTGCAATATTTCTTATAATTTTGATCAAAAATTCTGCTTGAACAAGAATAACGACCAGTTCTACATGAGTAATTTGATGTTGACCAATGGTCATGTTTCGAAACATTGATCGTTCATCATCGGCGAACTTGTTGAAAGAAGATCTGTAAGGAGAACCTTGCAACAATTTTTACCGTCTTCAATGCATTATTATTGCTGCTAAATCTCATCGACAGGGAGATGAGGAATCATATCATCAATATAGGGAAATAGGTATTTCGCATTCTCTTTGAAGAAAATCGATATCACTTTTTTTTAGTACGACACAACCATATTTAAATGAATGACGAAATCAATAATGGTACTTTTTCGTAAACGTAGCTTTTTTTCAATTCTACTTAGTTTTCGAGATATCTAACAGATGGTGGTTTTTCAAACTATTCATTTATTATCATGTTTGATCATTCATGTTGAGTTCTTGACAACAATAATCATGTTCGCAAGCTCTTCATATCATTTGGAAGCTAAACATTTTCAAATCCATATGCAGAGAAACTTGTTGGGCTAATGATGTACTGTATTGTCATAGAAAAAGTACTCGATTCCCTCAAATTGAAACATTCTGGTTTTCGTTTCATTCCTCACATAAACTTCAAATATTCCATACGAATATTTTCATTAATTCCCTTTTTTTTGTTACAGCATCTCGTTCTTCATCTAGTGGTGGTGGTACCAACAACCTGCCTCCATTACTATTCCACAACGTCCATGGCGAAAACGTTAGAATCTCACGAGATGGCACCGTTGCCAAAAGAGTGGAAAGTTTCTGCAAAGGAATTGCCTTCAGTTCAAGACCCGTCAAAGTCAACGAAAAAGTAAGCATCAAAAATATCATTTTAGGGTAACAATGCACAATGGTTATTCAATATCATGCATGGTAGGTATTCTTCACCACTGCGAAACAAAATCAAAGTTCTTCTGTTCGATTCTGTTCGAATACAATCTAGAAGCCATTCCTAGGGTTGAAATAACATTCAGCTCGTGCATTAGAGTTTTAGATACTTCAGAGAAACTAGCTTTTCTTTCTTGTTTCATATTGGACATGATGTTGCCAACTGGCTATCATAACCGCAGTTTTCATTGACATTTTCACTAACATCTTTGATTATTTACACTAAAGGCGGAATTATGCGCACCGGTTCTTCATTAATTTGTAATTTCACAATCATTAACGATTTCTCTAATAAGTTAAAACTTGATATTCCCGTTCATTCATTTATGCACCTAAATTGAGTTTTATCTTTAATTAACTATTCGCGAAGAGATGACCAACTTTTATTAACGACAAATACAAATAAAAATGTGACATGCGCAGGCGCAATAATGTCAGAAGTCAGAGAAACAATTTCTTCCTCTTCTTTTTCCCAAATATGGTTTGAAATTCTGAAAATTCTAGTCGTATGTTCAAATTAGACTTTGAAAACAATATGAATCAATGATTATTATTGTAATTATGTGATCACTGAATGTTATAACAAAAATATATAAATTAAGAGAAGGTGCATAAAGGTATCATAGTCCTTAAATAAAAATGAACTTAGAGGCAGTTAATGAAAGCAACATATTAGTGAAAAAGCGGTGTGCGTAAATCCACTTTAACAAGATTTTCCACCTCCATGTAGAATGTTGAAGCCAAATTTGGCCTTAGTTCTTGGTTGGTTCGTATGCGGCTGTAGCAAAACCTCGAGCGATAGATATTCAGCAAAATATGGCCGATTTGTCTGTACTGTCCGAATCTGCTCTTGTCCATATCTCTGCAAGTTGCTGCACTATTTAGGAATTACCTCCTTTCTGTAGCAGGAAAATCACTATCTTCAATATCCTGTATGCTTTTGAATATAAATATTTGAATCCGACTTTGATGCGACAATCTTTTTTGCATGAAAGCATCTAAAACTGAACGAATATATTTTGTATTACCGATCTCTACCCTTTGCTACTCAACAAAAAGTAGTTCATCTTGTCGCTCATACATACCGCCACCTACTGAATAAAATTCCTGGCTTCATTGCTCTTAAAAGGATGGTTCATCTTGTTAGTGTATAATAATAATCAAGGCTAACATTAACAACGATTTCTATAGGCTTATAGACTAATTCTCTCTTTATTCCAGGTCTGCATCAAGTTCCTCGAGATATCGAACAACTGGTCCGGCGTGATCAGATTCGGTTTCACCTACAACGATCCCACAGGTCTCAGGTACGGCTTGCCGAAGTACGCATGCCCAGACCTCACCAACAAACCCGGCTACTGGGCCAAAGCCCTACCAGAACGCTTCTGTAGCCAGGGAACCGTACTTTTCTACTACGTAACCTCCACTGGAGACGTGCATTTTGGCATCAATGGCGAAGAAAAAGGGATTTTCTTCAGCAGCGTCGAGACCAGAGGACCTCTATGGTGCCTAATTGACATCTACGGCAACTCCACTGCCATAGAATTCATTGATATCAGGCACCAGCTGAACAATTCTTCAAGGAACTGTGACAATGTCCCTAGTAGGGACACAGTGGAGAGGATAACTTACCCCATGCAGCAAATGGGGATCCAATCGAATGAGGAAATGACTCTTCCATTGCTGCGGTTTCAACCGTCCCATTTGAGCTACCAAGCAATGCCCTTGCACCGAACCAGAGGCAGAAACGTCAGGTTCATGGGCAACAATCGTAGCGTTGCATTCAGGACTGACACGGAGTTTTGCCAAGGGTATGTCTTCACCGGAAGGCACCTGCAACTAGGAGAAAGGATCGTGGTGCAGATCCTAGGCACCGAGCCTATGTTCCAAGGGTGTTTGGGCATCGGACTGACTTCCTGCGATCCTGCTACTTTACAACAAGGCGATTTACCTGATGATTCTAATTTCCTGCTGGACAGGCCCGAGTACTGGGTGTTGAGTCGGGATTTCGCCAGGAATCTGAACAAAGGAGACGAGATCAGCTTCTGCATATCTCAGAGCGGAGAGGTGCAGATCAGCAGGAACGGAGGACCTCCCTTGGTGGTCATCCACGTAGATCAGACCTTGAGGCTATGGGCTTTCTTCGATATCTACGGGTCTACTCAGCGGATCAGGGCGCTGAGTAGTCCCAGTCCTGTTTCCCCGGGAAGGAACTTGGAGAGGAGGATAATCAGTCCGACGACCGAGTCGATGAACAGCCTCAACAGTCAATCTGAGATGCGGAGGCAGCAGCAGAACGCCAGGGTGTGCTGCGTAGCTCCAGCTGATATCCAGGTGCAGCCCAGTGCGAATGGGGGAGCTGTTTTGTCCGTGATTCTGCCCCCTACTCACGCTAATATCATCGGAGGTTCCGGTCCTGCTGGGAATCATCTCCAGCACGTCTCAGGGTCTCAGCATCTGCAGCAGGTCTCAGGGTCTCAGCATCTGCAGCATGTCGGGTCTCAGAGCTCGGTGAACGGGCATCAGAGTCAGCTTGTTTATGCTGGGCATTCGAACCATTCCTCGCCTATGACGCCTGTTTCCGGGGGATTAGTGGCGCCTGTTCCGGCAGCCAGTATACCGGGTGGTACCATGATGTCGACTTGTAGCAGTAATTACGTGGAGGTGAGCATTCGAGATTTTTTATTTTTTCAGTTTAGCTCTTCTTTATAATGGAAGATATGCTCGCTTGGTGTTGAGGAAGAACCAAAAATGTCTTACTTTCTACCTTGGTGTTTGGTGACTAGAAATTTATTGTATTATCATCGTGACAATGATGTGACGTGGTTAAACCAAAATATCTCACTCTAGTAGCTGCAAATCTTCATTAATAATAATAATAATAATATCATTATCAACCTATTGATAATAATTGTTGTAATGGAGACATTGAACAGTTAGTTGACTTTTTATCATGGGCATTTTTCTTTGCACAAGATGCGTATCAAATTTGATATCTGACTTTTTGTCTTCCAGAAACCATCATCAATTCATTTTTTCAAATGCGGACCAGGATTTTTCATATAGTTTTTTCTCTTCTTTCAATAACTCAAAAATTCTTATTTTCGAAGGTTTCGTTTTCAATAATCGACAACTTCTGATTTTTTTTTTTTATATTCTATATAATACTGTCAATTTTTGTAAACGAAATATTCGAAAATGATGACTAGTGATAGCTCATAGCATTTGAGAAAAAATGATGATAGTTTTTGGGAAACGAAACGTCGGATTTCAAACTTGTAGGGAAGTAGAGGTGTCATTCATTTCAATCAATGTCTTCAAATAAAACGGTTTTAGGAAAACAGCTATTTTTTAGGCATGAAATTGGCAACTCTGCCATATTTCAGCCGACCCTGTATCTCTTTCCAATGATGAGGCTCTAATTGCAGTCTCCCTGTGCATACCGATACCACGAATGTTCAGTTTGGCATAAATGTTGACTTATACCTACGAGCATGTGCTAAAGCACAACAAATTGCCCTCAGCAATAACAATTATTGTGACTCACTAACATGACACCCGAGTTACATATATGTGACGGCCGGCATTGAGTGGAAACCCAAATGTCACAAATATGTGACACTCGACAGCGAACGTATCAATCCTCACCCCATTGCCACTAACTCAAATTCGTCTCCAACGCCACGAAACCGACTAACAATCACTTTTTTTTTCAGCCCATCTCGGATTCGAGCACCTACTCGACCCCGCTGTCTTGGGCCGAACAAAATGGCGCCATGGTGGGTACCGGCACCGAGTGCACCATATGCTACGAACACCCTATAGACGCAGTTTTGTACATGTGTGGCCACATGTGCATGTGCTACGAGTGTGCTCTGCAGCAATGGCGGGGAAAAGGGGGCGGCCATTGCCCCTTGTGCAGGGCCGTCATCAGGGATGTCATTCGTACCTATAAGTCGTAGGAGGCGGTTTTAGTCCGGGAAAGTTGAAAGTTCACCTCGGAATTCGGTGGAGAAGGTTCGATTTTGATAGAGCCAAGTTCATTCTCTTTGTAACTGCATCAAAGTCTGCAGCGTCTCATCTCATGCGCCGCTAATTTCTTTATTTATCATTAATCAATTAAATTAGGTATTTCGGCTGTTATGAGTGGTAGGAAAGACCAGTTTCAATGCGGTAAAGCCCATTCTTCTTATCATTAGTTGTACTTCAACTTCATTAGCCTCTTCATCTGAGATCGGACTAAGAGATCGCGCTAATCGACGCTCTTATCGTAATTGTAGGGATGCCAATTTGTGAGTCACTACTCACATATAATACTAATTTCATGACTTACTAGGAATTATGTGAGTAATAGTCAATTATTGTGACTAAAATGTGAGTAATCGGAGGTCACCACAAGAAGTAAATAAAAAAAAATGAGAGACTAGATAAATTGCTGGAATTCCGCATTCTGTCAACGAATTGAATGTTGCACAGTCACAAAATTCCTAATTCAGCGTAGTACTGAAGGAATTTTATAAAAATTCTGTGACACTGTAATTAAATGAATGTATCATGTGTCATGTGGTACTGTCCAGAGTTGCGTAATGACACACACATCAAAAAATCGATTTCTCTGTCAATTTAAACGATATTCAAGAAGTATTTTTCCATGAAAAATCTGTCTTGATATTGTATTCTGAGAGTGAATCAATCAAGACCATTCTATTCTGCTAGAATCATAAGGGTCTGACTGATTTTCATTTGTTCATTTAATTACATTCTGCCTGTAATGGAAGGTACTTCAAAACCAGTGTGGGGCAAGTGATTTTCATTTGTTTATTTTTTCTCATTATTCATTATGAATAAATTAGACCTGCTATTCGTGGCCTGAACTTATAATGAAAGATTTTTGTTTAAATAAGCTATACTGTCATTATTTTTCGAAGACTAAAGAGGGGTGAACATCATTCACTTCATGTATAAGGGTTTCCACATCTTCAATCCTGGACGTCACTGTACAAATTATATATTGAAAATCAATGAACGAATGAGGATCAGTTGAAGCCCTACTAGTCTTGAACAACCTAAATAAGTACAGTTGTATTTAAGAAAGCGTACAAGCATAGATTGAAATGGTCTTTTTAATCTATGGTACAAGTATATCAAAGAGAAATTAACGTCAAACCAAATGTTGACAGTTAAGTTGTCATAGGTTCTCAAAAACACAAATCATTGGCTGAGCCAGTTTCACACAACTAGAAGTAGATGACGTTAACCTCTCTCTTCAATACTTGTACTCTTTTTTATTGAATACCACTGTACAACACCGTTTACTACGTCAAAATCGGTTGGTTCTAGCCCCGACCGCAGATATTAAGTCCAATTTGTTTATAAAAAACAAGTGAAATTCAATAGACGAATGAATATCGCCTGAAATCATGTGGTGGAAGAACAACTAATGAGAAGAAGAATGGGCTTTACCGCAATAAAATTGACCTTTTCTACCCTTCGTAACAGCCGGTATACCCAATTCGTTCATAATTTTCAATTGATAAATAGACAAATCAGCGGCGCATGAGCCGTTGTAGACTTCAATGTAAGATTTACAGGAAGAACGTACTTGGTCCCATCAAAATCGAACCTTCTTCAACGATTTCCGAGGTTTGGACTTATTTTCATCTAACTTTGATGGACAGGGTGTGCGAATGTTGTCTAAGGCTATGTGTCTTGAGAGTGCTTCCAAAATTGCATTATGAAAACTTTACTGCCTCTGACCGGGATGTTATGAAGACTGAGTATTGTTGATTACGTTGGAGTATGTTTTTTTGTCGTTCGATGAGGGACAATGTAACCAAAGAGCTGCTGTTGTTGGCTTCCCGATGCGGGATTTGGCAGCCATTTTCCTTGCGACAGGAAAATTAGTCATTCTGTCGCTCTCCACAAAAATCAGTGGGTAGTCAATCTGCGCTTGCGCAGTTTAAACTTATTTATTTATTATGTATTAAGAAAGAATATTTGCTATATTGAAAAACTTCTCTGCGTTTTCTGAGCACCTCTGTGTAATGATAAAGTTTGTTTTGCTAGAGAACGCGAAGAATTTGTTATGATATTAAAATTGTTACTGTTTAACTATATCCTATTGTTTTGTGTAAAAGGAGTTTCAGATATAACATTCCCAAACTTGCTGGCCAGTTGTCGGTTGTACTGGGTGTATAGCTCTTTCAGAGAATAACAGTCGGATTGTTTTCTTACTGTTCAACTGCTGCAGAGCTCAATCTTTTGTATATTAGATTTTCTAGTCATTTAAGAATGTACTGATTTAGTTCAACAACAAATTATTTCGATTATTATTAAAGCTACAGAATAAAAAAGGTTATCTATTATCTAAACAGTTGCTTTTATTGAAAATAATCCCCAACCTCATAATTCCTTGGTGAGTATTCATCGGTCGATGTCTCCAAAAACCACATCGATGGAAGCTGGAAAGAAAACATTTTGAAAAAAACTCCAATTCTTGTATTACTAACAAACAATCTTACCAAGAACAGCGACTACATCAGCCAGAAAGGAATTTTTGCCTAAATAATCCATGCCTGACAAGTGAATAAAACCTGGAGCTCTGATTTTGCATCTGTAGGGTATGGAACTACCATCAGAAACTAAGTAGACTCCAAATTCACCTACAGCAAAAAATTGTGATCATTCATCCCAGACACTGACACCAAAACACAGTCTAGGTTTTATTTGAGCAACATATTTTTGGTAAAAACTGACTGGAGATGAGTGAAGACGAACTTCAGATTGTTATAAAGGGTGTTTCAAAAAAACCTGACCTCCTTACTAGGGTAGGTAGAACACTGCAAAATAAGTTGGGTTTACTCAGTAAAAAGATTTCGTAACGGCATCCGTTATCAAGATACAAGGTGTTGAAAAAATGATTTTATATCTGACTCTCATAGAGGGCGCTAGTTACACGGTTCGTACCGAGTAGTTTTGAACAAAAATTTTTTGAGAATAGATTTTTCAATCCAAATTTGATGTGAACTTGAACATCATTCAATTTCACACCAAAAAGGTATTCTTGGTAAAACTCGATACTGTGCTCATTTTTCGGAATATTTCGATTTGAAAATGATGAAGTGATAACTGTTGCAGGTATAAAACTATGTATTAGAGTGAGTAGGTATATAATGAAAAATTATCACCTATTTATTGAAAACCGAAAACAACAATACATTTCTGATGCAAAACTCATTGATTTAACAATGAATTACAAGAATAACATCGAAAAAGATTTGACTAAGAACATGCATGGATTACACAGTTTTGTTGTATCTTGAGCAAAAAGTCTATGCTACATAGGTAAATTCACGTCAAGAGTTGTAAGACATAATTGAACATCACTTAAATGACCTAACAGCTGATCCTCAACTGTTTAGAAGAATAATACATCCTTGAGGAAATAATTATAGAATCGTGTATTCGTCGAAACGTAGGACGTTTTGAACACTTACTCTAACTGATTCAATATTTCATGTTTCTAGTCAAATATCTCTTAATTTTCTACTTATGATTCTTTGTTCCATCAATAACTTCAGCACAAGAATGATTTTATTGTTTTTGAATCTGAGTAAATAGGTCATTGAACACAATAAAATTCATTTTATACCAGCATCAGCTATTACTCCATTATTTTCAAATCGAAATATTCCGAAAACGGAACATAGTATAGAGTTTCATCAAGAGTACCTTTTTGGTGTAAAATTGAATGATGTTCAAGTTCATATCATATTCGGATTGAAAAATCTAACCTCAAAAAAGTTATGTTCTAAACTACTCGGTACGAACCGTGTAACTAGCGCCCTCTATAAGAGTCAGATATAAAAACAAATTCATGCGATGTGTCAGATTTCAAGAAACATCCATACAAAAATTCATTACAATGTTGCCAGTAGTTTCGACATAATCGTCAAAAATGTGTAAAAACATCATTTTTTCAACACCTTGTATCATGAAAACGAATGCCGTTACGACATTTTTTCACTGAGCAAACCCAACTTATTTTGCAGTGTTCTACCTACCCTAGCAAGGAGGTCAGGTTTTTTTAAACACCCTGTATATTGGATCTTTCTTTTATTTGATTCAGACCAGGGAAGAGTCCTTCTTATCCTGCTGATATCTATCATGACACAAAAAAACAAAATGAAAACGGCATTGAAGTTTGATGTGAACATCCCTTCTGCCCCAAATAAGTTTCAAAAATACATTCTGAGAATTTAAAAAGATCGAACGGAACAAATAAATATCAAAAACTTGAGTTAATTTGGTCATATAATGTTGATATTTTCTCTAGTTTATGGACAATCTCGGTCTTTTGAACTTTGATTGATCACCTGGGTCATAGTCAACTGCATTTAGAAAAGCTGATTCTCATGAACCTCAGCTTTTTCGAAAGTCTTGATGTTTCGTTCTTTAATGACTGACAGGATTGAAGAAAGTTTCAGATCGCTGGCGATCTGGTGATTCCGAACATACCAAGGAGATCCTGTCACCACTCTCGCGATTTTGTTTTGTAATCTTTGTAATCTGGTGATATGAGATTTAGCTGTGTGGCTTCAGACCACCGAGGTATAGAGTAACATTGGCCTGATAGCCATGATGTAAATATTCAATTTTTGTCTCAAACCCAATTTACTTCATCTGTTTAGATATGGATACAGGGCTCCAATGGCTCGTTTAGCATTTGAAACTTGCTGTTCAATGTGGGCCCAGGTGAGCTTTTTGTCAATGCACACACCTATAAGTATTTAGCTTGTGAAGACCACTCTAACTCATGACCATCCAGGACTATTCTGGGTCTGGCAAGCCGAAATTTTGTCGAATATGCAAGACCTGCCGTATCATCAGCAAAAAGCGACATTTCTTGCACATCGCACATCACTGGTCTCGGCAAATCGCTAGAATATGAACTGTACAACAGCTACAATAAAACTGCACCCTGAGGAACACCAGTTTCAATGGGCTTGCTACCACATCGTTGATCATCAAGTTTCACTTGAAAAGTTCGATTTGTCAGAAATGAGCACATCAACAGGAAAGCCCATATCGATCTTTTTGTACATACAAGATACCAAGATGGGTGTTTTAACTGTTTTATCTATCATTTCTCAACGATATTGTGTTTTCAATGAGTTTCAAGACTTGTAGTTCAGTTGAGTGTCCAGTTCTGAAACCGAACTGCTCATCTGGTATCAGCTCGTTGTCGTCGATAAATTCCTGTAACCTCTGTTTGATCACTCGCTCAGTTATCTCAGATGGAGAGCACAGGAGACTGATAGGACGGTAGCTCTGCGGAAGAGCATTATCCTGTCCCTGCTTCTTATGCATCACTACTTCGGCATGTGTCCATCTTTGAGGGGAATATAATTCAGATTGTTGAGCTAAGAAGTTAATTGCTGATAATGAGCCTTTCAGTTGAGGAAAAATACTCAAGAACCTCACACTTTGTTTAGTATTTCTTCAAGGCATGATGTTAACACAGTGAAACTAATATCTTCCATTTTATTTTGGACATTGTGAATACGAACAACCTCATGTTTGTCGAAATTGAAAGATAAATCATATTGTTGTCGATGAAACCTGATACCCCTCACACTGTGCCAGCACATTAATAACTAACATATTATATAGAATGAATAACAGAACCGGGCCCAATACGGAGCCCTGTGGTACTCCCATGTTCATTCTCAATTTACTTGTAAGGAAACGAACTGTTTCGTATTTCTTCATGGCAACGGTTTAAATAACTCAATCACAAACTCCAATTAGGTATTTTCAGGAGAAACATGAGATAATAAATGTGACACTGTCTAGGGTTATACAAACCTTTTGGATGCTCAATGCTTGTATAAGTCTCACCAGGTGGTACTTGAAAGCCTTGGGAAAATAACTTGAAATGATGAATCATACTTTCCATTGAGGTCTAAAAGGAACAGATAGGTACTTGTCACTTCGGAAAATCATAACAAATTGCTGATGGGCTGATTTACCTTCATTTCATGCCGTTTCGGGGGGCTGATTTTATGGTCGTCAATCTTCACTTCTCCCGTTGGCATTTTGTTCAGGCACTGTTCGATAAGTCTACAAGATTGCCTCATTTCGTGGACTCTCACTAAATACCTAACAGAAATCAAGGAAAAGTATTGCAAACTGTAAAGGGTTGACCAAATTCGTCATAGCATCAGTCAGTACCCAAAACTCCATCGATCTATTCGAATTTGGTTCAACCGAAGTAATTGAGTGTAAAAATCCTATAAGTCGTCTACGAACAGTCTTTTTCATATTCTATGTATACCGGGCGGTTGTCACCTTATGTTATTTTATTATTGTTGTTTGTAATCAACTTCTTCATACCAAAATTTTATTTCTGACTGGAAGCATATTTGTCAATAAATAATAATAAATATACCCCCTTGTATTTTCGTTGCTATTCTGAATGGATTTTTCAAATTTGGTAAATCGATTTGATTGCATGAGTGTATGTTCTAGCTAGTATCAGACGTAAGTAATATGGCAATTCCGGTCTACCGGAAGTGCATCAAATTTTTTCATTTCAAATACAAGGTAAGTATTTATAATTTTTTCTCGATTTTACGATTAACGATCATCAGCTTCCCAAAGATATATCACAATCAAAAGGCTGTTTTGAATAACCCCATATATGTTATATCTTTTCGGAATCTGTATTAAATGGACAACTTTTTCTTATGATTGGTTATCTTTGTGGGGTAGTTTTTAAATCTGCCAGCGGCATTTAAAAATCGACTCTAATATTTCATTCGATGACAGACCTCAAGGAAAACAAAATTTTTCCCAGGTAATTGTTAAGTAATACATGTCATAAAATCATTTCTGGGGAAAGGTGCAACCATGTGGATGGAATTTGTAAAAGAAAAAATCACAAAAGTGACATAGTTTAATTGTAATTAATTATTTTTATAGAAATGAGAAAACATTAATTACTTTTGAACCATCAAGAATTGGATAACCACATATAGGGTTAGTTTGATTGGAAATGACCTCCACCCCCCACCTTACCTCCCAACTTCTTTTGATGCATGACTTATGGGACACCCTGTATAAGGGTTTCTCCATAGTGGAATGGTGACGTCAACTACATGTTTAATGATGATGAATCTAGTGATAAAATAACCCACTAGGTACCCTCGTGCTTTAGGGAGTGTTTTTTTTTCGTAGCCAACAGCCAAAAATAATTATAAAAACGACTTCACGTGAGATATTTTTTGAAAATGATTATAGAACCTGTCATATATGTCTCCATTTACTCCGATAGGAATGTCAAATTCTAGTTCGTCGTAAACTTCATAGGGCTGAGATTTCCTGAGGTCCCATTTTATTCCGGAGGCCCTCAGCAACGGTCCACTAAAATTGAAAATTTTCATTGTTTTCACTGAATTTGAATTACTAACGTTACGTCTAATATTACAACTACGACAAATATGCAACTTTTTTATACATTCTGACGCAAAGGGAAGTTTAATTCAATCAACCAAAGAAAATTATAGAATAGATATTGGTCAGTTGAATATTGTTAGACCGAAGAAACGAAAATAACCCAAAGTTTTATTTTGTGCGTATTTCAGAATTTAGAGAAATAACACGATATATTGATCTATGTATCGACTATATCTACAGTGTGTTACAATTAGCTCCAACCCACCCCTGTACTTTCGTATTCCTAGGACGATTCAAGAATTTTGTTCTCATAATATACTACTCAAGATTATCAACTTTGTGTAGCGAAAAAAAAATTATCAATCACAATTTCTTAGCCTACTGCGATCACAAAAACTCCATCAAAAAGAAAGAAAACGGATTAGGCATTTTTTCACAAAAATTTTGATAAATGGCAATCGATTTGGACTAGCCATATCAATTTTCAAAACAATATATAGTAAGGAGTGTTGTTAATTAACGTTGCATTTTTCAAGTCACCGTGTGAATAATTCTTTCAAGATTTTGGATAATACCAGATATGATGGTAGTCAGGATTAGATCATCTGCCTACAGAGTGAGAAACTCAGGCCAAGAAATAGAGGAGAATTTCGACAAAGAATAATAACAGTTCACAGATAGATACCACTAGAAGAACTGAGAAGAGTTGAAAATAGCGTGCGAAAAAGATATGAAAAGTGTAGGCACGGTGGATGAAGGAGATTTGATGGAGAATACAAAAATTGAATTTGTTAGGAATGGTTGCCGTTTCAGTTTTTTTCTTCTATTTTTTTTTTGTTATTTTTGTATTGGTATTATTTCGTTTTTTCTTCTTCTTTTCATTTCTTTTTAAAAAATTCAAATGTATAGTGATTTTATTCGATATTTTTCTCACTCTGCAGACATACGATCTAATTCTGACTACCTTCAAGCCTGGAATCAATAAAATTCATATAACAATTATTATTATACACAGTGACTTGAAAAATGCAATTATCCAAGAATTGTAACGTTGATAAAAAACACCCCTTAAGAGATATTGTTTTGGAAATTGATATAGGAGTATTTGTGACTAGTCCGAATCGATTGCCATTATCAAAATTTTTGTAAAAAAAATGATCAATCCGTTTTCTTTGATTTTGCTGAAGTTTTTATGATCGCAGTAAGCCAAGAAATTGTGTTTGATATTTTTTTTATCGACAAAGTCGATAATTTTGAGTAGTATTTTATATGAGCGAAAAAAATTTTCGAATCGCCACAGGAATACTAAAGTACAGGGGGTGGTGGACCAAACTGTAACACACTGTATATGTAAAAAATGTATGTTATGTATGTTAGCTTGTTTAGAAATAATTCTGTGATATGAAAGTATCTTACGAAAATCCTCTATTTAGAGCCTCATGGGCATCTATCACTCCTATTCCTTTCGTTCTGGCCACAAACAGTCTATTATTAGTTACAACATCTTCCATTTCATCAATCCTCTCAGGAATTTTATGAACGATTTCATAAATGTCGTGTAGAAGACCAATAGGTATATCCTACAAACACAAATGAATAATGCTCATGTTTCCTCTATGAACTTGATTCTTCTCCTGAAGATGAACAAAGTTATCGAAACACGTGTCGATACTTGCCTGACTGACCCCTCCTATTCTGAAATACCCTGCGTGCATTCTAGCCCCGCAAGCTCTTTCGCAAATTTCGTACAATTTTTCTCTTTCTTCGAAAAACCAAAACAAAGGCGTTATTGCCCCAACGTCTAGAGCCAAGAATGAAGTAGCTGCCAAATGGTTCATCAGTCTGGTGATTTCGGAAAATAGTGTTCTCAGATACTTTCCTAAAAAATATATTGTACCGTCAACTGCACTGAGGAAAATTGTGCTATTAGAGTTTTTGCTGAGATATTTATTGCTACCATTACAAGAAATCATATTACCGTTATACATTTTCGAATAGAAGCAGCACCTTGAAATCCTATGATAGCAATAACGACTTTGCTGAAAGTGAATTTCCTGCTACAGGTAGGTATACTGCCGTCGCTATCAGGCAGCCATTCTGGGACGGCAGGAATTTTTTTATAATTGTTAAGCTGAATTACTACTAGTGAGAGTTATATGCCTGTGGCTGCAGGGTTCATCGCATAAAACTGCACTCACTACCAATAATACAACTGTCAGTCTGCCACGAAAACAATATTTGACGAACCTACTTGGGGTTATTTAGCGCCTTCTTATCGTTATTCAATATTTCGCTGATTTTTTCCCCTCTGTATAAGCATTGCTTGATCAAGCATTCACAGTTGGGCTCTTGAAGCAAACCCATGTACAGGACGACAATCTAGATGACACGACAATTACGAATACTTCCCCCCTTGAATTCAATTCATTATTTAAAATCTGAATCTGAATTCAAATATGAAATGGAAACATTTTTGAACAAATAAAAAAATCTTATGTGTTCCTTTCAGTGGTTTCGTAGATCTGAGTGCTTCAGTTATTACCAGGATTGATGGAATGATAAAGGTGAGTTTTTTCGAGGTATTTCGACTGAAATCCAAATATTTTACATTCAACATTTCCTTGTTTTTGGTACTATGAAATTTTCAAATGGTCAGAGCTTCTCTATAGAATGTGGTTATGAAATTATTTGAATGATTTTACTGGTGTCATTTTGTTTTCCTGCACGCATCTGTAATAACTTGCCTAGTTTTCGAAATACAATGGTTTCAGATAGTTTCAGAGAAATTCTAATTTTCATCAATTACTCAAAAACCTTTTGTTTTTTCTAAGAGTGCATGAATCCACTGATCTATTGCATTTCAAAGATCATTGGTACGCAATTGTCTTTAGGAATCAATTAATTGCTATTCATACCAAACATCAGGGTGGAAATTATGGAAAGTAAGATTGGATATCAGTCAAAATCTCACCTTTCTTGATGACAACAATCCTGGAAAATAACTGAATAACAACAGCAAGAAGATCATATCTATACGATCACCCATCAAGAGTAGCAAAGTTCCCTACCTACGATTATAACATATTGCCCTACTCCCAATATTAGATGCACTCACTAGCGGTAGCAAAGTCATATACCAACTACAGAAACATCGTATAATAGCAATATACAGATGCACTTGCTAGTGGCAGCAAGGTTCTATCTATCTCTCTATCAATCAGAAAACGAAGGGATTTTCATTTCAAAACCCTAAAATCGGGTTGAAAATTTTTCGTTGGACCACCCTGTACAGTTCTGCCCAAATAATTCGTAACGACTCTTGGTCGAATTCGAATATTTTTGTCTATAAGCAAAAATAGAAATATTCACACTGAGGAAAATTTCTATTAACCATAGTCAGAAATCGAATTACCCCAGCAAAAAACTCTAATAGCAGCAAGAAAATTTCGGACCAATGATCTTTGAAATTCAATAGATCAATTGATTCATGCACCCTCAAGAAAAACCAAAGGGTTTTTTGAGTAATTGATGAAAAAAAGAATTTTTCTGAAACCTTCTGAAACCATTGTATTTCGAAAACTAGGCAAGTTATTACAGATGCGTACAGGAAAACAAAATGTTACCAGTAAAATCATTCAAATAATTCCATCACCTGGACATTTTTGCTCACAATAAGTTTTTAGACCAGATTCTATAGAGAAGCTCTGAAACATATTTGACCATTTTGAAGTTTCATGATACCAAAGAGAGGAAAATGTTATTGAATGTAGAATATTTGAATTTCAGACGAAATACCTCGAAAAAATTCACCTTCATCATTCCATCAATCCTGGTATAATAACTGAAGCACTCAGATCTACGAAAGCACTGAAAGGGACACAGCAGATTTCTTTATTTGTTTGAAAATGTTTCCATTTTTTATTCGAATTCAGATTCAGATTTTGAATAATGAATTGAATTCAAGAGGGGAAGTATTCGTAACTGTCAAGTCGTCGAGATTGTCGTCCTGTACATGGGTTTGCATCAAGAGCCCAACTGTAAATGATTGATCAAGCAAGATGTCTGACAGAGGGGGACAAATCAGCGAAATATCGAATAACGATGAGTATGCGCTAAATAACCCCAAGTTGGTTCGTCAAATATTATTTTCGTGGCAGACTGACAGTTGTATTATTGGAAGTGGGTGCAGTTCTATGCGATGAACCTCGCAGCCACACGCATATAGTAGTAGTAGTTCAGCTAGACAATTATACAAAAAATTATGCTGTCCCAGAGTGGCTGCGTGATAGCTACATCAGCAGTATACCTTCCTGTAGCAGGAAATTCACTTTCAGCAAAGTCGTTATTGCTATCATAGGATTTGAAGGTGCTGCTTCTATTCGAAAATGTATAACGGTAATATGATTTTCTTGTAATGGTAGCAAGAAATATCTCAGCAAAAACTCTGATAGCACAATTTTCCTCAGTGCAGAGTTACACCTGACTATCTCCTACCACAATGAGAAATAAGTGATTGCCGCTTTTTAACGCGATTGTCACAGAAGTCGTTACGAATTTTTTGGGCAGCACTGTACATATACTTATTCTACTGACCTCTTCTTGGGATGTCGATATTCAGTAATTTTTCAACGGCCAAACAGAATGCGTGTTCGTTTGACAAGCAAGAAAGGTAGTCTAGACGATCAAAGTATGGAAGGGCTTGAGTGTAGGTTTTATATTCGATGAGTTTTTCGGTGCCTCTATGTAAAAGTCCGATATGAGGATCAAGTCGTTTGACAACCTGAAAAATACACTGGATGGGTGAAAGTAACTTTTCCGTACGATTTTACTTTTGCGCTCGATACTTACTTTTATTGGCAATTTAACGAGAGCCATTTTGAAAAAATCACGAGAGCGTATATATTGTTCCCAGCGAGCACAAACATCCCTGGGATGTTTTGGGATGTTTTGAAAATGTTGGCATGAAGATGTTATTTTGAGACGTAACATATGCACTGACCAAAGAGGTCTTTGAAGGATATTGAAGTATTGTTTTTGTTCTTCTGTGGCATTTCTTTGTTTGCCTACTGAGAGGAATCCCTGGGATGTTTTGGGATGTTTTGAAAATGTAGGTATGAGGATGTTTTTTTGAGGCGTAATATGCACTTCCCAAAGAGGAAGGATATTGAAAGTATTGTTTTTGTTCTTTTGTGCCCTTTCTTTGTTTGCCCCACCACAACGTCTCATGCTTACGTCACAATACGATGAATTCTGATTTGTTTTCGATTTTGTTCTTCTTGTTCGCAATTGGCATTCGCGTTTGCAGCGTGTCACGCTTACATCACGCTGCTAACGAACAGAAAGGAATTTGGTGAAGTTCATTGTGTTAGAAGACTTATTTAGTTTGTAATAATGACCATCAGATGCAAGATGGGTTGTTCGGTGCCTTAGTGTAATCAATATATAAAAGTACGAATTTATCAATACACACAGCTTCTCCGCAGTTGCAAAATTATGCATTGTGGAGAACATTTCAAAAATTGGGAAACCTATTTCCAATTATATGTCTGTGTGTAGTAAGCACTACTCAGAAACCGATTAAGAAGGTAATTTCATATCAAGAAAATATTTTTATGTTCAATCTATTTTTAATGCATTTTTTCATTCAAGGGAAATGGAATCCTAATGCAAAAGTTCATTTTGACAAAAGGCTTCAGAAAAGTACCTCGAAAATTTTTTTTACAGCGATTTAATGTGCACAAGACGCGTTGAAAATGTTTTGTTGTGTCCATGAAAAGGCTTTAAAGAGAACTAGGGAGAAGGTAGTTTTGTGACATATCAAGGACATCTCGATAATTGCCGCCTGCGGCGGACATTGGCTGTTCTATAATAGTTCTATTCACATGGAACAGAACATCGCAGTGGAGGTTCAATGTCTCGAAATCTCGTACTTTCAACATCTCTGAGATGTTTTTGTGCTCGCTGGGTTGTCACCACGTAGGTATTCTTTATAATCTTCCCCATTTTTCATTGACTGTTTGGTTTCCAAGTTTCGTTTTTTACAAAATTCGCTAAATTGGTGCCAAATGGATGAATTACTTCTTTTTTATTATATGGAGTTGATTTTTCAATCTCCTACATTATTTCTGCCTCGCAAATAATTTCAAATCTCTAAATACCTACTAAAATATCATTTGCTGTTTATATCTGTTTTGACATTTACAATTGTCAAACTGATGCGACGCGCAACAAACGAATAGTAAATGCTAGCGTTGCTACTGTAACGTAATTTCTCTGATCGATTTTTCATCCATTTGCATTTTTGTTCCTTTCTATTTGAGTGGAATTGTAGAAAAAATCGTGCAGAAAAGTTACTTCACCGCACTAGTGCTAAAAAGGAGGATATTGAGTTTCTCTTCATAAATGATATGCCGTCGGCTTACTATCAAAACCTCGTAAGTCCGGATTCTAGGGAATTTTAGGTTTGAACATTTTCACCATCTACGAAATTCAGCGCAACCATCACCAAATCATCGTAAGTCTATGTTTTTGGTAGCGACATCTATTTGATATAATTTAAGTTGTGCTCGTTGAGAAAGTATGAATCTCTATTGTTTGATTCATTATTTGAACTGATGAAATCCATGTCAGACAGACACCAAAGTAAGTTTATAATGAACTATTTGGTCAATCTTCTCGAATATTTCTGCAGTGATGCGAAGGAAAATCTTGTTTTGATTCTTCATGTGAACAGACTTACGAGGTTCTGATCTGTATGTTATCTATCTAGTAGAGGACTTACGAGCTTTTGAGAAGATGTTATGAATATTTGTATAATTTTAATCTGTTCATTCCAAATGACGACATTGATTGAAACATTTCGGTTCATTATTATTGTTGAATCCATATTTCTCATTGTTATCAAAACTACCGCTGATTTGCTACATGCACTTTGACGCAAGGCCAAACTAAATGACAATTTTCACTAGTAATTGATCAAATCCAATTCAGTCTGAATAATGTTCAATTTATTTTTGTGAATACTTCGTAACTCGTTTATTTGAACATTGAGAATATAAATCTTCTCAGAATGTTGATTTCATTCATCAAGCAGGTAGGTACCTTTACAAAGGAGGAATAGCCTTAAAAAAATGAAATCGAATCGTTCGAAGTGGAAAACGTTTTATCCTCTCCTGAACAATTAGCTCTGAAAGACTCACGAGGTTTTGACAGTAAACCGACGATGCACAAAACACTCGTAGGAAAAACATTGTACCTAACTCCTACGGAAAATGTATTTTCTTCCGCGTCGTTCGTACAACTGCCGTCGCGTGCGGAAATGTACTACTTTCCGCACTTGTTAGGTAAATAATAATGACAGTATTACCTCACCGTCCAACATCAATATCATCCTCAAACAGCCGTGAGCCGCAGGATGAGCAGGCCCAAAATTCAAAACCATATTCTGAACTTTCATCTCCTTCGGCCTTTTCTTACCATTCCAAGGAGCCACTTTCCATTTTGATGTGATTTCGTTGGGATACATAACAGGGCCATCGAATTGCTTGAGGAAGGTAGATTTTTAGTTGAATGGTACGAAATCGAATTTTTCGAAAATGTTTGCATGAAGCATGAATCCGAAATCAAAAATTGTGGGATAACTGAATATACTTTTCGAGATATTATCTAATCAACATCAGTGTTGATAAAGAGTTGTTCGACATCTAAATTTTCTAGAACCAACAGTAAATTTATACAAACCTAGGAAATTTTCCTTATATAGACTCAAAATATGTTGTTTTATTCATTTTGTCAGGAATAAACTCAAAAAATCAAACTAAGATTTCAATGAAGTCAATACAGTCCATACTTATGTAACTAGGCAATTGAATTACTTGATAGCAAATACATTCAAGTCGAACATTGGCAAACAGTCTATATTTCATAATGGAATAATTTTATACAATTCAGTACCGAATGAATTGGAAAATATACATGATGTAAGAAGATTTGAGTCAATCTCAAACAATACCTGGTCAGGACAATTTGATTGAAAAATATTCAACATGATTTGATTACTCAGAATTGAAATGTTTGCGGAAATGTTATAACTTCCATCTTAAGAAAAAGTATGAATTTGTTTCCACTGAGTGGAATTCATTAGTTAACCTTTTAATATGTTTATTATATGTGTATCATGTACAATCAATCAATCAATCAATCAATAATTCAAGGTTGACGACGAAAGGATGTGCTGACTGATGGGCTTGTCGAGTTGGTCTTATCTACTTTTATATTCTTTAATTTATTCTATATAACTCAAAGCTAATATGGGACTGCTCAGAAACCCTAAATGAACTAGGCACCAGCACATACCTACAGGGTACGAGGGCAATGAAGAGGCAGACTCACTTGCCCGAGCAGGAGCAAACAAAGCTCTGAATGGCCCTGAACCCTTTTGTGGTATTGCCAAAGCTATACAAAAGACAATAAGTATCAAATCCTGGATGCAAACCAAATCTCAAGAATGGTGGAACAACTCGCCAGAAATGAGACAGGCCAAAGAGTTTATTAAAAAGCCATCGCCAACATTCACAGAAAATCTAACTGAGCCAGAAACGAAGTACAACTAGGATACTAGTGGGACTTCTCACAGGGCATTGTAGGCTCAACAAACACATGAGTACGATAGGTCTGACTGCTGCTGTGCTGGTTCTATCAGGAAGAGGAAGAAACAGCAGTACACATACTTTGCCACTGTGAGGGCTTGTCAAGACTAAGGTTCCTTACACTGGGTGAGGACAAACCAAGAGCTCACAGTTACATAGGGGATCTGAAAGCTAGCCTATGGAGGCTCATAAAGAAGGCGAGGCTAGCCAAAGAACTCTTAAAGATTTTGATCTGAAAAGGTCGCGGTGTGGAGGCAGATAGCCCGAAGTCCCCACTCTAAATCTAATCCAATCTAATTTACTTCTATATTTGATGAGCTACTCAAGAAGCATATACGACCTATAACCTAACTAAACCAATCTGCAGTTAATAGAAGAGTCAGGAATGCACCTTCCTATAAGCAAGTCAATCAAGAACCCTAGAATGAGCCAGCCAAATAAAAAAGAGGGAGTCTATATTATACCTACCACATGAAAAATGTTCCCAAAAATGTCGAATAATAGGTACCTATCTCAAAAACTACCTATTGTTGGATAGCACCCGATTTCAAAGTGATTTACGCCCCAAATAGTTACAGTGTTACGAAGTACGAATAATTCGATATCGCCATTAAATAAAAGGATTACCTTGAAGAACTCTTCGTCAGGATACCAAGTTTTAGCATCGCGAACTATTGTAAGAACGCGACAAAACTGTGAGGTGCAGAGGTTTAGGTTTTTTGGAGTTATCAGCTTTGCAAGAATCATTTTTTGACGTCTGACTGAACGCTTCGTCTGTCAAGGAAATTGGTCGATTCCTTCGATCATGTGGTCCTTAGATCGTGGTCTTCAGTTAGTGGTATTAACCGAATTTGATTCCATTGGCTACATTTCAAGGGAAATTCAAAGAAACGAATAAGAATATAGTGATATCGCATATATCGAAAGCATTCGATCGTGTTTGGCACCAAGAATTTCTTCATAAACTACCATCATAGTGCTCGCCACCTCAGCTATGCCGACTTATATTGGACCACATGGATCTGTCTGGATCTGGATCAGCTATCAATGTCGGCGTTCCACAAGGACCCATTTTGGTACCAACATTGTTCCTACTCTATATGAAAAATAGAATTCCAATTTTATCCCATTGAACGATTTTGCTAAGATTACAGCCTTGCCTGGTTGAATTCAACGCCACCAAAACTCAAGCCTGTATAATCTCTAGAAAAGCGGAACTCGCAGTATGCCTGATATAACAATATTTGGTACCACAATTTTCTCAAAATTCACCATATCTATACTCGGTTATTTCCATCAGTGATACATGGGAAAATCATGTCAGATCCATCGTGAAAGTTACTTTACACCTCAATAGTTTCTATGATCTACAAAGCATAGATCGGGCCCCTTTGTACTGTTCCCACATTATAGTCCAAAAGCAGGCTGCAAATTTTGACCGTCATCTGATAACGAAATGATATGGCTGTTTTGAATAACCCCATATGTTATAATTTCAGAATCTGTACTGAATGGGCAACATCAACATTTTCTAATAATCTTTGAGGGGTAGTTTTTGAATCTGCCAGCGGCATTTAAAAATCAACTGGAATATTTCATTCAATGACAAAACTGTTTTGTTAGGTAGGTAATTGATACGAAGTAACAAGGGTCATGAAAATTATTTCTGGGGAAAGCTGCATCAATGCCGATGAAATCACCAATGTGCCATAGTTTCATTGTAATCATTTTTTTTATAGAAATGAAAGAAAAATTATAACTTTCGAACCACTAACAATTGGATAGCCACATATACGGTTAGTTCGATTGGAACTGACCCCCCCCCCCTACCTCCCCACTCCTTTTGATCCATGACTTATGGGACACTCTGTAAACACTTCCCCAAGAAATTAGCGCTCCGCCAAAAAGTTTTCATGAAATTTGTAATACCCTGTGGGGTGTAACAGTTACGTTATCAAGTTGAAATTGGAAGTACACTTTAGAATAATATTTTTTCAACGTTCCTGTTTCGGATTCACACCATTATCTTTTTTATAACTCGAGAATTATAGCGTAACATGATTTTATGGAAAATTAATATCCAAATTAAATAACGGAAAAACTTCCGTCATGTGATAACGAGTTGAAACAAAAAGCAAATAAAATGGGATAAAGTTCCCTTTGCAAATATTCAAACGTGCCACGAATCAATTGATCTGAGTTAGTGGCAGAGCGTCAATATTTTCGAGAATATTTCGCCCCTCTTTGAAGATAATATCCGATGGACCAGTGTAAATCCCAACATGTGTATTAGAATACTCATGAATTAAAGACTCGAATACTTGTAGTGCGAGTACCACATGAGTTTTACACTGGTCCATCGGATATCAACTTTGGACGAGGGCAAAATATTCTTGGAAACATTGACGTTCCCGTTCATTTGCTTTTTGTTTCAACTCGTTTTCACATGATGACAGTACGTATGAAATGATGGTAGCAAATAAATCACTGTGCATTGGATTTGGGTCAGATTGAGGGGTGGCACAGATAGTTTTTAGAGATTTAGCATTCAATTGGAATCAGATGGCATAATTTTCATCACGTTATCAAATCGCGAAGTTTAGTGCGAATTAACGCACAGGAAAGTGCAATTTTTCATTTATTTTGCTCAGGATATAGTGATTGTTGGTCGATAAAATACAATTTTTTTCTTCATGTTCTGGTTCCCACGAAAAGGGAAATCATGTAATGTTCAGAGAACGTGAGAACCAAGGGAATTAGGGTAGGAATTGGTGTACTTCTCAAATTTCTGGAGGTTATATGCCTCGGGGTATATCTCCCTTGGCAATGTGTTCCAGAGCCTCGCTCTTCGTTGGATGAACATGTCTTTGGAAAGAGATGTTCTGCATGTCTCCAAAGTGACCACGAAGGTGTGCGAAGCCTCAACTCGACGGGTTAATCTCGCGGGGACTGCCAAGGGAGGAATAATTGTTGATATTCCAGAAGAGCATCGTCCATGAAAATATCTATTAAATAGAGCCAGATCGCCAACTTTTCTACGATGTTCCAGGGAAGTGAGTGAGTTTGTGAACGAGGCATCACCCACGAGACGAATTGCCCTCTTTTGGACAGAATCCAAGAGTTTCAGGGTATGTTTCGGTGCTGCACTCCAAATATGGGAACAGTATTCCAGGACAGGTCGGATCTGGGCCTTATAGATCATGAGCAGCTGACTGGAAGTGAAATAGCTCCTAGCCCGAAACAAAAAAAACAAGTTTTTGGGATGCACTTTTAGCAATTAATCTCACGTGATTTTTCCAAGAAAGGTTATTGCTGATAGTAATACCAAGCATCGAAATGGATGTTTTCGAAGGCATGGTTACTCCTGAAAAGTTATTGGATCCCCATTCGAGAATTGTTGCCAGGTCCATGTTTTTACATGGCTTTGGAACATATAACACTTCGTTATCAGATGACGCTCGAAATTTGCAGACGGCTCTCCTACTATTAGTGGTTATATAAGCACCCAATCTTCCCCACAAGCAGAACATTTTAGGAAAATCACAATTGACTGATCATTGTTTCATTTATTTTAAAAAATGTTACAGACATATCCTATCACATTAAATGTGTGGAAAACGCTCGGGAAAACGGTATCAAAAATCATCGCAAAATCACATATCATTGGCAATTCTGCCAAATGTTTCTTCAATTCAAATGGTGACTGATGTTTTCTGATTTCTGCCAATTGTGAATATGAATGAAATATACCAAAAGATCACATTCACTTCATAGCTAAATAAAGCCAAGGTACGCTCCACAACTGCAATTCTCCATTCACATTTCCCATAACCACCATATTTGTCCTAAAAACAAGATAAATTGAGAATATTTCTATACTATTGAAACTTCAAATTCACAACTGCTACTTCAAAGTGACAGTTATTGCCACTTTAATGACACTTCAAAATTTTTTGGAAAAAAAAGTTGTTGGCCCTCTTGTACGCCTACGTAATAGTTATTTATGCACCAAGTGAGTTATACAGGGTATGTCACGACGAGCTTTCCCTTTCTTTATATCGAGAATCAGTCGGTAGAAATTCATGAAAATGTGCATGCTTCTATTGTAGAATACGCTCTCTCCATTTAAATTATTTTTGACAATGCAGTGTTGCCGCTTTTACTAGAAAGTAGTAGCAACATTGATATTTCGAATGAAACACCCTGTATTTTATCGCATTTTCAGATCTCTCCTGAATAGATGATTTTATCGATATATTACACGTCTATCGAAAAATATTACAGAGATATAGGGTGTTCAAAATCGAGATTTTTCAACTTTAGGATTTATTCGTGTCGAAACTGTTCATTATCGGTAAAAAAGGCTCAACTTTTGAATCCCTATATACTGATATTTATTCGGAACTGATACAGGTTGGTTCAAGATTCAGAATTCTGATGATCACCCTGGTCAAGGTATTATTAAGCATTAATGGACAAGTGCAAAATAAATAACATTTTTGATGACATTTTTACCGTTTTCGATTCACCGATATCGTAGTTGACGCTGTCGACTTCAATACTTTCTTATCAGTCAGATTCTCGAAAGATTTCTTCTTTTGTATGTGAAAAATTTCCAAAAATCCGTTGGTTCCGCAACCAGCTATCAGTTTTTCCTCGTGATACACAAAAGTGACGTCATTCAGAGGATGCTTCACAAAAATTATCTTTGCTGGATCTTCCTAAAATTTGTGATTTTATCATAAAAAAAACATATACAGTGTTATATTATGGTCATAATTCAATAAACACGAGCACAAATGACATGGACAAGGGTTTTCTGATGTTATATTATGGTCATAATTCAATAAACACGAGCACAAATGACATGGACAAGGGTTACACTTGCTCACAACTCGGCTGCCTGCCGAATACTATATGAGCCAGTCTTCACACACGTCTGTCACAGGCTCTGATTCAAGCACATTCCACTGAGCAGTAGCGCATCTAGTTGCTAGATGCTAACATACAGGGTGATTCCCAGTTGAGTAAAAAAAATTGGCTTCCCGTATATCAACTAATTTCAGTTATTATGATCAAACTGTCAAATGTCATTCTACCTGTCCGATGATGTAAATCCGTACTTCCTGGTCTGTGCCAGACGTCATAAACATTTCGCTTCGGTTCGGGGAAAAACAAACTCTTGTTATTTCCCCATTATGTGGTTCGTAATATTTGAAAGAAGGATCTGCTAAAGGCTCCTTTGTTGTACTACCTGAAAAAATATCAAAGATGGCTTCCAAACTTGATTCTCGATGGGACTAGTGCAACTGATGGGGCTTAGTAAACCGAAACAGTCCTGATTTTTTTTAAAACCGTGTAATAAAAGGAAGAACACTGGATACTTTTAGTTTACCTTTCAATTCTGTCGTTCCTAACACAGAACACTGTACAACGTGTCCACCTTCTAGAGCCACTACGAACATGTCATGAATGTGCTTGGAAAAATCAAAGCAAGTCACTGCTCTAGTCGAATCTCCAGAAAATTGATCCTTATTGATATTCCGTTGTGTGTGGCTCAAAATTGGAGGTTTCATTTTATATCTGAAATTGGAAAATTTCTTAATTTTATGAATCAAACTGAGATAACCTTGAAATAGGCCGCAACAATGTGACGTCACAAACGTATGCAATCAACAGTGCGGCGACTCTTCACGTAGATGCGATAATATAACCTTTTGCAACCTTCTCATAAGAGTGATAGATCATCGGAATTATCAAATCTAGCATGTCATTGAAATCACAAGAGAAGAATAGTTACCTATACAGTGTGTCTCACTTTGAACAGCTATTATAGTCGTGCGATTGGTACTAAATTTGGATCGGTATGAATAACCATCAATATGCAGGAAAACTAACTTCATATTATTGTTCCTCATGCTTTCGAACCTCCATATGCGAAAAATCACCTTATTTCGAATTAACCGTATTGGCTTAATTTTTTTCATTTCTTGCCTCGGAAAAATAGTGAAAAATGTTCGCTTGTTCAGGAAGTGACAAGGTTTCGAAGCTTAATTACTACTGAATCTTTGGTAGATACTTACCTACTTATTATTTCGTCATGACTGCCTGGACGCAAATCTATTTAAAATTGTGTAGGAATACCCGAGAATAAGAGCTATATAATTTTCAAACACTTGTTATTCAAATGTGGCATGACATTGTAGTGCAACGAGGTTACTCCTAAATAATTTAAATAATAACCTACGTTGAGGCCACTCTATCTTCTGTCATAGACTACAGAAGATAAACTATAAGACAGTTCACTCGTTCATTTTTCGACTTCTAAGAGATCTCGCCGCAACCTAGCCGACCGCTGGATTCTGCCGGCTAACGACTGCAGGGCCTTTGAAATCGCAATCTAATTAGCTGTCAACCGACCGCAACCGTTTGGCGATGCAATGATTTATAGAAAAGCAAAAAATGCAATGTTGGGCTGTACCGACAAACGGATTTCACTAAGTGAACTATCTTCTAGAATTCAGTGATCTTTGCTTCTGTCTCCCTTTTTACTAAAGTTTTCTGAATCTACTTTTCATTACTTTCATTCGAGAAATACTCACAACATCCGTTATATGATTTTAAGTGTCCTCTAAAAATTTCCCTTTGTTGAACAACATTTTTTTCGCAGTGTAAAATGTACATATTATTTCAGAGATGTCAGCAGCCATGTGAGTACGCTAATACCACAGGACATCCAATGGAAGTCCATCCATCGGATGATGATAAAGTCCAAAATTCTTAGGGAAGGGTTTTGGAGTAGAAACCATATGCCTGCATATTCTTAATAATATTTTAGAAACAAAAAGAATGTTCGCTCGTTCAGATAGTGACAAGGTTATTACATGAATCTTAGGTACTTATTTCATCATGACTGCCTAGACAAATCTGCAAATCTATCGAAGTTTAGTATGAATACCTCGCCAACTAGGTTTTTAATTTGAACGACAATGCTCCGCCTCGCAAATGCAAAATTCGCTTGTCAAACAAAGTGTCACTTTCGATCCTAATAAAACATGCTATTTTTCTGCAACCGAAACAATTAACTCAAATAAACATGTGAAGTAACCACCCATGCCGTGCCATATGTATGCAATGCAACAAATATTGACAAATAATCCATGTGGTGAGAATAGGTTTTCTAGGATGTTCTAATTATTGTAGTTTCAATATAAATACAACCACAGAGTAACATATTCGTGTATGGACCAGGTGCTCTAATGGCAAATACCGTGTCAGTACCAGCTATAGGAACAAGACGTGGAAAATGTTAGGTTAGTGAGCATATCAACAATGATAATAGTGATTATTTATTCCTCTCCATACTACACTGTGTTTGACTTGATGATCAAAATTAAGCTAAACAATATCGTTGTTTGAGACAAAAAAACTATTGCTTGCCGTGATTATTCAAAAACAAATTATCCATCCCGAGAATAACGAATCAAATACAGATCAAGCAAGTATTTGAATCTTGAAGGCTTCCCTGATCAAAACAAAAATACTAAACTGAGATGTTTATAATTCCAATACTAAACTATAATAAAGGTGTATTTATATCTCCAGCATAAGTATGAAATGCCAAATCTGCTGAAATCGAAAACAAATCAGGTATGCGTCTCAACCCAAATAACCACCGTCACAATGTTGTTTATTCTTGATGACGTCCAGTATATCGTTTTTAGTTCCTAGGAGCTAAAGTGCAACTTTAGCTCCTAGGAACTAAAATTCAACTTTAGCTCCTAGGAACTAAATATGTTGCCTAGCAACATACCTATTTTTGTGCCAGTAATAGAAACGTCAATTTAAGTGCTAATTTTGGTATCAAAATGGATGACTTTTGTGGAGGTTGCAGAAAAACATGTTTTATTATGTTGCCACCGCACATTATGTATTTGGACTCTCATTGTCGCAACTCTCATTCATTCAGTACAAAAACCACCGCTGATCGATCAATACTATTCTTACCTCACTTTCAGATTCATTTCTGAACTATTCGGATTGAATCTCCACATTTTCAGCAACCCATCGGTGCCAGAGGTTGCTATGAGCAAGCTCTTAGCAATGTCCACATCATTCACCCAAGCCAATTGGGTGATGATAGCGTCTTCGTGGGCATTGGTTACAGATGCCACGATCTCTTCTCCATCTTCGTTTCGGATATTCCAAACCACAATGGACCCTAAGTGTCAAGATATAAGCCAGTAATTATGATAGAAGATGTCCCGACTTCAATTATTATTCAGAAAAATGTGACGGTTTCAACCGCTACGCTTCGGGAGACACATAACCTCGAGCTAAAATCTACTACGTTTTCCCCTTGTACAATAATAGTTATTTATTATACAAGGGAAAAAAGTAGTAGATTTCAGCTCCAGGTTGTGTTGTCTCCCGACGCGTAGCGGAGGGAGACAAAAAACCGTGAGCTAAAATCTAATATTTTTCCCGTGTATAATACACTATTTTTTTCTGTGACAGAAGGAAGGACGAATCAATATGGAGAAGATATTACATTATTTCGAAATCTGAGAATTATCGACGTGAAATTTCAAGTTTTTAACAGTAGGGACACCTGCGTTTTATAGACATCTTTATCATTCTTTCGAAGTTATCAAATATCTGATGTCACTTCTGTTAGTTCAATTCTGTGATTTGATTTTGAAAAATTGCGAATTCAGTAGTTGTTTAGTAATATACGAAACCGCAAAGTCGAATGGAAGATTATAGGACTTGCAATTCTTTCTCGGAGACGGTATTATTGACTCATTTTTCGGAACTATAGCACAACAAAAGCCATTAACAGAGTATATATATGTGATATATATCCGGGAAAAAAGTACTCACTTTTTTCCCACGGGAAAAAAGTAATTTATGAAAAGTGACATTTTATAACCTGCCAACAGAGATGAAATGCCAAACTTTTTTCCCGTCACAGAAAAAATAACTATTTATATTAGATATCAATATATTAGGCCGAGAAGGAATATTCTCAGATATATTTATGAACACGAAAAAATGGATATATAAATGAAGAAATACATTGAGAATTCGCATTCTCCATGTGATGAAAATATCAATTCTTTCTCGGTTTATTCAACAGAAAACAACTACTTTCCTGGATATATGCCACGACGAATATTGAATTACATCTATTGAACACACACGATAAGAATTTGAAAACAAAATCTTCTAGAGTAGAGAATTTGCATTCTTCTTCATATCAAGATACGCATATGAACTCTGATCTTGAAAAATAGTTATTTTTGTATCTAGAGCGCGGAATGCTACTTTGGTGATCGAGATCTGATTTTTTTAACGAGGCGTAGCCGAGTTGAAAAAATAGTCGAGATGACCAAAGTATTTCGCGCTCGAGTTGCAAACAACATTTTTTCTACAAACGGCAGAAAATATAGTTCTAAAGTGAAAATTTGCTTAGCTTGATATAAAAAATAGTGTTGAATTCGCTTAAAAGGCCTCCCCTATCCTCCCTAGGTACGCACGATGTTCCACGAACATAATAGGAATTTCCTTTCGTGCGATCCAAGAGATAAAACAAAGTTATTGTTGAACATTAAAAAATAAATGATTTCGTGGATGTTTGATCCATTGAGGACCATAAAGTTGAAATATAAATATCTCATGTATTTTACGTAACAATGCGCGAAGTAGGTACTTCGCGCACTGTTTTACTTCGCGCATTGTTTTGTGCAAGGTATCATGGTAACGTAGGAAACTGAAAAAAAGTGTCACTTCGCAATTTGTTATCAATGCGCGATACCTGTCATTTTTTGACGTTTGTAGGAAAAATATATTTATTATAGGCCGAGTTTGGTTAGACAGTTCAGAAAAAGTAGTCTCCTATCCTATGCAGAAATGATATTTTCCTTCCTCGTAGGATTTAATAGGCCGAGTTAAATTAGATTGTTTGGAAAAAGTGATCTACTTTCTTTTGTAAAAAGAATATTCTACTTCCTAAAATTGAATAAATCTTCTGCTCACTATAGTTTCCGACTTTGCGCGCAATCACAGCAAACCTTCAATTTCAATAAACAAATCCTATCTGAGTCCCAATACATCTCTAATGCCTTCGCCCATTTTTTTCAGCAATTTCAGCATTCTTATGCAACTCCCAATAAATACCACTTTTGCTGATTCATTCAATAATATTCCTTCTTTGGCGATATCTGAAGTGACTGAAGAGCAAGTATTAATCTCATTGAAAAAACTTAAATCCAAATTCCTACACTATGGAAGGAATCGAAAATTATACCGGTCTATAAGAAGGGGGCTAAATCAGACATTTGCAACTACCGCCCTATAGTAATTACTAATAATTTTTCAAAATCTTTTGAAATTCTACTCTACGATGAAATCTATTCGCACGTTAGGAATCAAATTACCCCTAGTCAACATGGTTTCTTCAAAGGAAGGTCAACGGTCACAAATCCAGTTTGCATCACAGAGAAGTTATCTGATACCATTGATGATAGCTCTCAATGTGATGTAATTTATACGGATTTTTCGAAGGCCTTCGATAGGCTGGACCATGGAATTCTACTTCACAAACTTTCGAACTTTGGACTAACTCCAAATCTCGCATAATTTTTCCAATCTTACCATTTTGATAGAAAGCAGTATGTAAGCTTTCAATGTCATAGGTCTATTGAAGTCCTTCCTACGTCAGGTGTGCCCCAGGGGTCCAACCTCGGGCCCTTATTATTTATAATGTTCCTAAATGACATTGTGGATACTCTCACCATCAATCACCTATTATATGCCGATGATCTTAAGATATACCATGAAATTATCACCGAAGAGGATTGTACTGTTCTACAAGAAAATCTTGGCAGACTCAAGGTCTGGTGCATCGAGAATAACTTATTCCTTAATGTCTCCAAATGTCATGTTATGTCCTTTACCGCCAAGCTGAATCCAATTATTCACAATTATAGACTGGACAATGTCGTATTGTACCGACCTGAAACTTTCCAAGATCTAGGAGTCTTATTTGACAAAAAACTATCGTTTGGAAATCATATCAAGCAAGTCGTCAAAAAAACGTATAGATCGTTGGGATTCATTATTAGAGTATCAAAAAATTTTTGAAGAACTGAGAAAATGCTTTTGCAATAATATTTTCCATTTGTTAGATCGAATTCAGGGTATGCATCAATAGTTTGGGCATCACATTATCAGGTACATATATCTAATTTAGAAAATATCCAACGAGAATTACCTATGTTTTAAACTTGATGGCAACTACCCAGATGTAGGTCATCCACATCATCAACTTCTTTCGAGATTTTCAGTTGATTCACTTCTAGATCGTCGAAATAGGTCACATGTTATATTCCTTTTCAATGTTATCCGGAACAATTTGGACTGCAGCTGCATTTTGGAGATGATACACTTTCATGTTCCCAGACTCATAACCCAGAGAAATAATACTTTTTACCTTCTACTTTTCTACCTTCTGCAGTTTGGCCACCATAAAAAAACTAGACTGTTCTATTTTTTCCATTGTATGAGTTCAATGTATTAAGAAAATAATTCTAGTACACTTAGTATATTCCTATTCTGTAATTGGATCTTGTATCTGTTGAATAGTGTGAAAAAAAACCTTTTTCGGGACATTCGCGCAATTGCACCATGGGATTAGGACACCCTGTTGAGAATCCTTACCGCTGTCGCGTAATTGCAGTATGCCCTTTGGAAATGTTCTTACCTGACAAGGTAGCTGCTGCCAAAATAGCTGGATGTATCGGATGGAATTCAACACTGGACACACAATTGTCGGTCAAAAACTTTTTAGATGGTAAATCTGGCAATTTGTCATCCCTTAAAAATTATACACATCACAATCACGAAGTATTACCAACTTAGTCGGAAGATTGGAATGTATAATTATGATATATGAGTGTACCTTTACCTTGTGAACGTATACACTGCGACGAAACCTGTGTGGTGACACCAAGACTTATGTTCGAAATTACATGATAACGCCAAAGTTTTTCCTGTCTGGTTCCAAGATAAGGCCACAACTCTATTCGATATAGCCTGAAATCAATCTAGGTAGAAGAAATCTGAGATATGGAAGGCGAAAAGTCCGTATCACAATGAAAGTCCGTGTTAAATTGAACAATATTAATTGATAAATCAGTAACAGATATTGAATTCGCCTATATGTTTATACGCGAGTATATATAGAAAAAAATCTCATATTGACACTAATGTTAAAAATTGAACATTACATTTGACACTTTCAATGATTGCAGAAGCTTGCACTCCGCATCTTTGGAATCACCCTGTAACTGGTATCCACGGAAAGCATGCGAATTACTTGCTTCGTTCAATTCCTTCCTAACACTAGGGTATATTCCAGTCAACCAGTTTGCTAGTTTATCCATGTCCACCTCAGACACTTGTTTGGTTGGTTCATCTTCAGTTTGTACCTTCAAAATATTCAAGTACATTTCCCCAAAAAATTAACGCACCACCAAAAATTATCCAAAAGTATGAGATACATTTACACTAAGCAAAGTTGAAAGCTATATTGATGCAATGTTGAAGCAATTACTAAAACGGACGTTCAGCAATATTGCAAAGGCGAAGCTTTATAATGTAGCGTTGCAGCAATATTACGCCCTTGCATGTTGCTGTAACATTGCTGGAACATTACATTACATTACACCACCAAAAATTATCCAAAAGTATGAGATACATTTACACTGAGCAAAGTTGCAAGCTATATTGATGCAATGTTGAAGCAATTACTAAAACGGACGTTCAGCAATATTGCAAAGGCAAAGCTTGATAATGTAGCGTTGCAGCAATATTACATGTTGCTGTAACATTGCTGGAACATTACATTCACAAACTTACATTTGCAATATTGCTGAACGTCTGTTTCAGTAATTGCTACGACCTTGCATCCAAATTGCTTAGTGGGGGTACCTACTTGTCCGATTTGGACGATTTTTCCTTGGAATGATAGGTTAAACCTTTTACACTAGCGCGGAAGAATATCATATGGGAGTAACCTTACAACTTGTGAAGTACTTCCACCATACCTGGGCTCTTTGTGAGTTGACAACAACTGTTGCTGTTCTCCTATTAATTATTCACGAAATCCGATAGATGTCACGTGTGAATAGGACCGTGTTGTGATTATAAGTGTTTGGCAGTGGCGGCTCCTCAGAGGAGGCAACGGAGGCTGAGCCTCCTCAGAGATTTTCCTTAAACTAATATTATCTATACTTTCTCATTAAAAGGACACCAAAATACATGGATTTTGATTTCATTTCCTGTTTTTCGTTAAATATTTTTGAATTGGCAACAGTGCTTGCTCACGCATCACACGTTGAAGTCTGCAAATCACGCGTAAAATATTCAACTTGGCAACATCTATAGGAGGCTAGACTCCTTCACATCGCGCAACCTACGCGCGCAATGCAAATGCCCGAATACGCCCGAATAGCACGTGTTTGTCGTGTCGCTTCGCGAATTGCGGACAAACGCGAGTGCATTGTTTATGTTTATGTTAGGTTAATGGTTAGGGGGGCTCTATGAATTTCTGAAAAAATGAGTGTTTTGAACGATTGCGATTTCGTGGAATACTTTTTGGTGAACCTATTCAGTGCTTTGTCTCATGGAGATAAATTGATTGTGAAAACAAACGTCCGACACCAGAATTAAAAAATCTGACTGTAACAGGTAACAAACGAAATCGTTCGTTCAATTCTGATAATTATAAAAAATATATCTGGTTGACGGGATCTGAGGTGAGGAATAAGCTATTTTGTTGGTACTGCGTATTATTTTCAACCGATAAGTCATCATGTTGGGGGCGATTAGGATAGGTATAATGATTTGAAAAATTTGCCTCGCGGATTGGATAGACACTGCAAATCACAGGAACACATCTCTTCAAGTATTAAGTTCAGGTTAACTGGTAAACAGAATGTCATTAAAGCTATTGATTTGGGTGAGTAGAGAGTTGTTTTTCACAATAAATCTCATATCATTCAGCCTCCTCTGTCATGAAAGTCACGAGCCGCCACTGGTGTTTGGGGTCGATTAAAACATTTAATATGCACCTCGGCAAAAAACTGTCACCATTGTCTCGATTGATTGCTTTGACTCGACTATAATAGACAGTTTTTCGTCCTTGGTAGATAAATAACTATTATGAGAACTTTTATCATTTTTTTGAGACGCTCTATCACCCCTAGGAGTGCGTCCCACTATTATTACGAAACACCCGCGATTTTCGACCGATTTTCAAAAACAAAAATTCCATAAAAAATAGTACTCATTGAAATCTATTCGAAAATGTGGACAATTCTGAAATATTCAGATGTTCAAAGCCTACTTTTTGTTTGTTGAAAGGGTCAAAATTTCAAAAACGACTATTAGGCAATCATTCGGAACAGTGACTAGCCTATTCGAGTCAGGAATAACTTGATTACCTCCTCACAAAATTTGAATGCAATATCTCATATAGGGTGTTAGTTATTCAATGGCAACTTTTGATATTTTCGATTCTTCGATTCACCCTCTATTGAAATCTAAGGAGTTGATATAACTGGTGAAGTAGTCATTTAATGTTGCGGGTTGAACTCACACTGTATATATTGAAAAATATAAAATTATACCTACCTACTAATATTTTTATTCATAGAAACGAATGAACGAACGAACGAACGAATGAGGATTGAACTATTGAAATAACAACAGCTTTTTCATCCTTTGTGTAATTTTTGTATCTAGCTTAATTTTTGAGGAAACAATAAAAATTCGATCTGACTCCAAATTTTAATGTAGGCGTGATTTCAAGACTTCCATTGAGATCACTCAATAAACCCAATTAGAATCATTTTCAAATTTTTTGGGCTTTCTCAGTCTCCATCCATACTGAATTTTGGCACCATGAAAGCTTATACAGGGGGGTTAGAACTAAAAACAATTAATACTTCCAACTTCCACATCCTGTATCTCGAAAACGAAGCAAGTTAGAACACAATATGTTAATAACTTTGTTTACTAAAATTTCACAAGGAATCAACCCTTGTATTTTTTCGGTGTTATTTAGATACAACATGTTATAAGTGCGTCCACCAAAATATGAAGTCAGTATTGAATATATACATACTTCAAAGCGTGTTTTCTCCGATTACACCTCTCACAAATGACTTCAAAAATTGCCACTATACCTAGTGAGTCAGAAATTAGAATTCCACTTCTAATCCGAGACACTGTTGCGGGGACACTCTTATATACAGGGTGATTCACATAAGAACCGACATAGAGCAGGGGCATGTAGGGGGTCCCAAAATATGGCAATTTAACGTAACTTACCTCTATACCAAGTTGCTTCCCTAAGGAGTTATAGGCTTTGAAAGTGAAGTAATAAATTTTGAAAAAAATCATTATCTCCGTTATTCTTGAATTTAAAGCAACCAAATTTGGTACACTTTGTGGATGTATTTGGGCGTTACTTGACAGTAACTAGAGTTCAATTGAAATTTGTAATGGGGGTATACCGGGTGGCGCACCATTAATATTCAACAGAATTTTGTTAACCCTTGATGGATTTCAAAAATCTTTGCTTCGTTGTGTGGGCAATTCAATTCTAAAACATTTCTTACTCCAGTAATTTTTCGAAAAACCTTATCATTTTCATCAAAAACTCGAATAACTGAAAACGCGCGCTCTAGGTGTGTTATTTAAAATCATCGAAAATTCAAAAGTTGGCTATGGAAATAAACGTACAACAAAAAAGTAGGTCATTAATTGTGATCAGTAGAAATTGGCTGGCAAATTATCATTTAGATACGTAACAAAATACGTAAAGTAAGTACAGATACTGAAATGTGAAAAACTGGGATTAACAACTAACCAAAATAAACACAAAAAACTTAAACAACAACCAGAACAAACAATTGTTTATCGATAAATTACTTAATTGAACAACTTACTTGCTTCATTGTCAAGTTTGACGGTTATTTTCATAGTCAACTTTTGAATTTTCGATGATTTTAAATCACACCTAGAGCACGCGTTTTCAGTTATCAGAGTTTTTGATGAAAATGATGAGGTTTTTCGAGAAATTACTAGTCTAAGAAAAGTTTTAGAATTGAATTGCTCACAAAACAAAGCAGAGATTTTAAAAATCCATCAAGGGTTAACAAAATTCTGTTGAATATTAATGGTGCGCCACCCGGTATACCCCCTTTACAAATTTCAATTAAACTCTAGTTACTGTCAAGTAACGCCCTAAATACATCCACAAAGTGTACCAAATTTGGTTGCTTTAAGTTCAAGAATAACGGAGATATCAATTTTTTTCAAAATTTATAACTTCACTTTCAAAGCCTATAACTCCTTAGGGAAGCAACTTGGTATAGAGGTAAGTTGCGTTAAATTGCCATATTGTGGGACCCTCTACATGCCCCTGCTCTATGTCGGTTCTTATGTGAATCACCCTGTATATAGGTACAGAGTTGGGTACATATTATGATAGCAGTTGAACAAAGTAATGTCAGAAACAAGTAGAGGGATTATGATTTTGTAGGTACTTACCTCTATTTCAGATTTCATCATAGTATTAGATCCCTTGTCTGCTACCGCGAATTCTGTTGTTTGAGTGGACCCTTCAGAACTCACCCTGAAAGTCAATTTTAAGTTAATGAACGAAAAAATATATTATCGGATATCATATATACGTACTTCTTAACTTTCCATGTGGATTCATAACCAACACATTCATTATGTTTTGTTCCAAACATCTTCAAAGGCAAAGGAAAATTGTTTGTCTGATGGAAACTTGGTTTTGAGGTTGTTGTCAATGACAACGAAATTATACCAAACGCAAACCAAATACAAACAAATGGTACGTAGATACTCGATATATACATGGAAAAATGTATGAACGAAGCAAACGAAGGTAAAAATTCGATAACCCCTCTTTTTTTTAAATTGTCCAGGTGTTTGCATATTATCGAGAAAATGAATGATATATAGAGTCAATTCGAAAATGATATAGCAATATTGTTGCTACATTTACAGTCCTTTTGGAATTCACATTCAAACAAGAGGACACCCTGTATACCGTTACAAGGATCGCCCGAACCCCCCCGAAATGACTGCCCAGTTCCGAAGAAGTTTTTTTTCTTGGACCCCCTCAGAAAAAATATCTGGGCATGGCCTTGCTTCGAACTACTCTTTATATGGACGAATGACAGGAATAATAAACAGGGTGTTCTATTTGAAGAAGAGTTAAAATGGATTTCAGAAAAACGGTGAATAGGTCTCCATGATATGGTTATAAAGAGAAATTACTTCTACGAAGATCGGTTTTAATCTTTGCTCTTCGACCACTCCACTTCACTTGGCCATCAATTATGAATTATCATATTCTTATTTCTTTTTAGTTTTATTATTGACTGTTCAGATACTTGAGATACTGATTTATGCAGTCAAATAATTGGTCAATACATGTGTATATTTTAAATTGTGAATACGCCACAGAAATAATAATATTTGATATAATTTGTGGAAATAGTGCATGTATGTTTGTTTGGGGTAGGTACCGTAGAATGGGGTGACTTGAAATCGTGTGGTGACTTGAAATAAAATGCAGTGAAAATTTTGAAGTAGTGGCAACGTCGCATGTCAACGGAAGAAGCTAAACTAGTCTTTCAGTCTAATGATTTTTTGTTTATTTTTGTAGTTTTTTATCTTTTTTGTATTTTGATAAAAAATATTTGTTCTAAAACACAGTGTTTTTTTATGAAATTGATGATTTCTATATATTTTTTATTTAATTTTCATTTCATGTCACCACCTAGACCATCCTACTTGAAATAATCGTTGATAAGAAGTCATATTTCAAGTCACCCCATATTGGGGTGACTTGAAATATGACGTTTGACATTTTTTTTTTCGAAAACTACACTATATAGAAACGGTTTTAATGTATCGTTCTGTTCTTTAGGGTCGAAAGAGTTGGTGACTATTTTTAGTTTGGTTGAAAGTTGCATGGTAAGGTCGCAATCTATGGAAGTGTGTCAAAAATCTTATCAAGTCACCCCATTCTACGGTAACGAAGAGTGAAGAGTCAAATCAACACGAGAGCCTAAAGTTTTAGAACCATTTCGAAACCTCATTGTCAGATTGGTCGCAGTGAATCACGTGATACATTATGGACGCATGCGCTCGTAGAAAAACTTTATTAACGAGATCCTCGGGGTCTCAAGGTCAGAGCAATCTCGAAAGTAAGAAAAATCACCCTTGAAAGCCTAAATCACAACACAAATGATCACAGTGGGCTTACGCCATGCTTTTAGTGGACCAGAACGAAACTCCCCAAACCAAGCCTCCACAATTTTATTGCGAAAAATAAACATAAAAAACAAGTCTCAACATATATCACGTGATGCCCGCGTGATGGGAATGGTTCGAAAGATTTGGGCACTTCGAAATCAACGATACATCTTTCTCCGTGTATACAGTGGAATTAATTGAGGTTAGGAAAGATCTTACTCAAACAGTTAAAGGATAATTTCAAAAATGTTATAAACAGTTCCCAAAATATTTAAGCTTCCATACTTTTTTACATTATGAAGAAAGGTGATGCAATATCTATCACGTGATGGGAATGGTTCGAAATATTTAGGCACTTCTACATCAACGATACATTTTTCTCCGTGTATACAGTGGAATGCCCAAAATATTTGAGTTTCCATAGTTTTTTACATAATGAAGAAAGCTGATGCAAGCATTAGTTTCATTTGTTATTTAATTAACAGTAAAAAAACAACTCCAACATATGAGATTCATCAACAACCAAAGCATACTACCTATATGAAACATTTTCTGTTCAAATTTCAGTACATTTTTTGGATGAGATGTGTAAAAATCAAAGTCGGGTTTTTCCATATAAAAAAAATGCACTGCAGTGTCTAGTGTGATTGAATTAACTCCCAACATAGAGATTCACAAAGTATATCAAAATGTTCATCAAGTGGAAAGATAAGTAGTTATGTACATGTCACTATTTCAAGCTCCTCAAGGATTAAAATAAAAAATTTTTAAAAATCGATGTTGTTCCTCATATTATCTTTCAAGTTAGGATTGGGATGTTTTTTTCATTGCTCAAGTGAAACAAATTCATAAAAAATGTATTAATTTACTTGTTAACATAAAAGAAATATATTTTCAACATATACAGTGACCATTCTTGGCTTTTGCTGCAACAAACTGTTATTTAGAGCTAAAACAGCTTCATAAAAAATATGAGGCAGATTCTGACACTTTCATTTCATTCAATCCAGTTCCATTCCAGTATACTTAAAATAACACATTCATTTCTAGTTTCCCTTTGAGTATCTCTTCCAAAACTTCTTCACATCATCATGTGATGATTTATTAATAACAAGAGTCCTCCTATCATTATTATCCCATATAAGACACCCAATGGATTTTGCATATTCCTTCAGAACATTAAAATCAGCCTGAGACAAAAACTGACTATAAAGAACACCTTCACTATAAACTAGTCTATTCCTTTCCAATTCCCACAATTTTATCTGATCCACAACAGTGGGAGGCAGTGGCTGTTTTGCTTGTAAATCCAACATCCTGGGATGGGCATGCTGCTTCAAAAATCCTATTATCTGATCAGCAGTTATCCCCCCTCTCAAAGCTTGCCTCACTGAATCCCTTGTAATAACTCCCACCACCAAATTGGGAAACCTGTACATCAGCTCAGTGAAAAGACCAACCAAAGCTACTTGCAAATTAGAGTCTGTATAAGCATACACTCTATAGTTAGTTTCAACCACTATGTAACCCTTGGGGGCATCTTCCTCTATATCAGGTACCTTGTCATTACTAGTAGTTATATTCAGAGCTAACCTAGTAGGATAAAACCTGCCTGCTTTACGTTTCCTTTGGTACACTAACCCAAACTCTCTCAAGTGCTGCAAAAATATCAGAAGACCAGGACTCATGCCTTCAGTACTATAATCTTTACCTAAAGTACTGAAACTCAGCTGGAAAAGAAATGTGAGACACTCCACCAAGTCCAGTCCTCGTTCTTCCACAGTATCCAAATACTGGAGTATAAAGTGCCACACTTGAGCCTGTCTATCCAGAAGTAAAAACTGGAAGCCCTGCCGTGTGATCACAGGACTCCCGTCTTCCTCATCCCGCTTCATGAGCCCAGCATGAAGCAGAATCCTCACAGCATCTGCAGATATACCCTCCTGTTGCTGGGACCCCACCATGTAATGTAAGACACACTCCCACCTTTCTTGTGAATAAGCATCCAGAAATGATACATCGCGCGCTTTGCTGTCGACCTCTAGTGCTGAAGACATGCTCCATGCCTTACCTCCTCCCAAGAGGGCAACTTTGAGATTCTTCTTGAATGTGGGTGATAGGATCCAGCCTAGGAGGCCGCCAGGTATCCCGGCCTCCTGCCATACCGATAGCTCGGTTAATACTTTGCTGACGTGAGTGTGTTCTTTGGAAAATGCTTGGGAGCCCCAAGAGGCCACTACTGCTTGGGGTACAGGTTGTTCAACAAATAGAATTCTTATTACATACTGTCTCGCCAATTCTGGCAATTCTCTGTAAACTGCAAGGCATATCGTAGGATGATTGTAAAGTTTTTCGAGGACGCTCGGAGGTCTCGATTTCAAATAGTCATAGAGGTTTTTGCACTCCAAGTTTGTATGTTTGATCAAACTACTCTTTTGACTTTGTGCACCTACTCCATTGTCTGCCATCTATAGTGATTCAAGATATTATTATTGAATATTTTCATTGAAATAACGTTAAATTTGCCGAATCTCGATAAATGAAAAAATTGAGGTTAACAATGTTAACATCTCATCTCAGATCTCACATCTATCTCAGAAGTCAATTCTCCGATGTTCTCCGGTAGAATTTGATGTTTGATTGAAGTGTGATCTGACTGATTTGAAGTTGACATTATTGAAAGCACAGAACCACACAATCAAAGTTCATTCCGCGAAGGCTATATTCCGAATTCAACTGACAGTACTGAATCTGCTGATTTTTCATTCCGAAATCGCAAAAATTCACAAGTGACAAATACTTGTGAGCAGAAATACTATTAATTCTAAATATTTCGACTCAACATTCTGCTGAAATTATTGACTATCGAAAGGTAGTGTGGCTTCAGTGAACTGTCATTATTTTCAAGGGGGAAGGAATTTCACATTTATTTACGTTGTTCTTCCTTTTCATAAAATGTCTGTGTACAGCATTGTATTTTGATTTTATATTTCGGAACACAGATTCTCAGCAGAGTCAGTGGATTTACTGACAGTACTGACCAGTGACCAGTTGAATTCGGAATATAGCCACAGTTAGGCTTTCCTAAATTCTGACGTCACATAGATTTGATTCATGGTCATGGCATCCTACATGACCTTGAGCGCGAGAAAAGACGAGTGAAAGACTTGAAGTGATATGGTGATTGTTAATATTGTTCAATTTTGTCATTAGTCATAACTCATTATTATTTTATCAATTGATATATAGTTTTTGTAAGCAGAACTTCGGAACAAATATTTTTAAATCGATTTTTCATCCAATCGATACATGAATTACACGATATTTATGCGATAGTGATACTACGAAAGCACCCTGGTGTCACGCACACTTTTCTTTTTTTGAAAACTCATTATAATGACTTTTTTCTCATTATAATGAGTTTTTTCTCATTATATTGACTTTTTTCTCATTATATTGACTTTTTTTTTCATTATAATGAGTTTTTTCTCATGAAAATGAGTTTTTTCTCATTATAATGAATTTACTTTCTTTCTTCGGAGTCTTCTCCTGCTTCTAAGACTAACACCAATAGGGTCCAATTCTTTCAATATAAATTCTCACACTTCTATTCGTAATTACAAATCCTTGCTGGATACATTTCAAATGCATCCATCGATAGCCGTGTAACTGTCCGTACTTCTCAACTTGTTCGGCTATAAAATTCAAAACTTCTGGTAAGGGAGTAAAATATTTCTTTCTGTAGAGGCCCATTATCTTCAATATTCGTTTAACTGTTGATAAACTTACACACTGTTTATGATATACCGTCAGGAAAGCCATAATTTCTTCGCAACTAAGACCCAATAAAAAGTAGTATGCAATATAATTGGCCACCACATCCATTTTGATATAAATCATGAGAAATCTGATTAATAATGATAATCTAAACCAAAGAAATCATGTTTATACACAGAAAATATAAAGGCGAATAATAATAAAGTCATTATACCTATATAATGAGAAAAAAGTCATCATAATGAGAAAAAAGTCAATATAATGAGAAAAAAGTTATTATAATGAGAAAAAACTCATTATAATGAGAAAAAAGTCATTATAATGAGTTTTCAAAAAAAGAAAAGTGTGCGTGACACCAGGGTGCTTTCGTATTACACAGATAGGAGAAGATAATACTTATACCTTACTATGTAAGGTACATTATCAGTTATTACTTTTCCTCAAGAAGCCTAATGGTTTGGCCAGTATCAATAAGGTACCTAGTTTCTTTTTATCTCTTGAAGCGCACGAAAGGAAATTCCTATAATGTTCATGCAACATCGTGCGAACTGAATGTAAACACCATTGACTCCATAGTTCATTGCGTTTACCATACCATGGCTTTATTTCGAATTCAACTTGTCAGTACTGTCAGTGAATCCACTGACTCTGCTGAAAATCTGTTCCGAAATATAAAATTAAAAACACACTGCTGTGATTCGAAACACGTTGTCATGGTTTTCATCAGTAATCAGCAGCAGTTGATGATCAGCTGGTGAAATTTGGCCAGTGACCAGATTTTTTTCAATAACAGGCACATTCTGATATTGAATATGATATCATTAATATATCATTGATGAGTGAAGACTCTTAATGTTTGAAAAATAAAAGAAAAAACTGTGACATTATTTCCTCCTCTAAAATAATGACAGTGCAGCCTCAGTTCACTGAAGCCACACTACCTTGTGATAGTCAGCTTTCAGCAGAATGTTGAATCGAAATATTTTTAATGAAAAGTATGTTTGCTCACAAGTATCTGTCACTTTCATTCAGTGATTTTTTAAATTTCGGAATGAAAAATAAGACCTGTTCTAAGTTTACCAACCTTGTAAGTGACATATGACGTGTTTCGCACGAAGTGACAGGCGACAGCCAGTGACAGGAGTTCAAACTTCAAAGCAGTCGAAAATTGAAGGTTATGTATTTTACGTTTCATGTCAAAATTAAAGTTCAAAATGAAAGTAATTAAATAAATAAATAAGTAAATAAATAAATAGTCATGTTTAGTTACACTTGTATAAATTGTGGAACTCCTGTGAAATCTTTGTTCAAGAAGTATAGTGAAACCGTACTGAAATTAACACAATGTGTAAACATTCTCATCTACTACACTTACATTTCAAATCGCCTAATTTGCGAATTTCTAGGAAAACTGCAAGAACGTCGCTGACAAATATATTGAATGTGACTCGGTCATTATAATTGTAGATCTGATTTTGCTAAAAATGATGGCTTTTAGACATTTTCTCATCAATTCAGAATTCAAAGTAATTACAACAAAAACTTACTAATATTGTTATTTCATATGAATTTCTGCATACTGGGAAGTAGCTTTAGAGCTATTCAAGTGATTGAAGACTATTAATATTATTCAATCATATTTTAGAATTATTGGAAATTGTCTGCTGTGCTATTAGTTCTAGAAACCTATTCGCAATGGACCCTTACCAGAAGAATAGGTGAGGTAGAACTCAAACACAATCTAACTACTGAACCACAGTTATCAGAAACTGATATTTACCTGGACGACTTCAGATTTTACAAAATGATTCTCATTATAACTGTTGGCACAGCAGCATCAGTGTTTCTCATGTATCTTCTGACAAGGATATATTCATGTTGGAACAATAAAACATCAATTTCATTCAGGGATATTCACAAAGCTGTGACACTGTCGAATTCTGGGATGTTTCTATTGCTACCGTCACTCATTTGGGATATCAATGTACATGAACTACATATGCTTTTTATTTCCCTGTATATCACCCTATCCCAGTTATTGGCGCATAATGGTAAGTTTGAGGTGTTTGACATTTATATTTTTTTTTAACCAACCAGTTTCCAATTTCAGCTTTGTGCAGTTGCCAGAAGAAGTGGAGTTTGTTCATTATATTTTCAGCTTATTTATTCAAAACTTATATAATAGATTTATTAAGTAAACATCCATTACAATTTCCTGTCAAAATATCCTGAAATTGTCAAATATGATTCATGTTTCAATATATTTTTTATAGGAATAGACATTTTTTATTGGAGGTTTATTAATGAGTACAGAGAAAAGGTTATCCTTGAGAAATGGTAATTGGGTATGGAGTGAATTGCGAGATGGTCTATTATTTTTACCGTGAGTTTTCCTTTCTTTCCCATCACCAATTAAATTTTTCGTGTCAAAATGTCATTGATCTTCAGAGTGTGTGAGTGAATAGTGCTATATTCACGTTATTAATGTTATAAATTTTTTTCAGTCGTGATATCAAAGAATTTTCTCAAAAAATGTACTCTGTTGGTGGTGCTAGTACATCTATATGTTCGAATTCACCAAATTATAAAGATGCCGTTTTCAAGGATACATTCGGAAGTCAATCCCAAGTACGCAATTAAAAAGTGGTGCAACGAATAATAGGTGTTTGACGAATTTGCCGAAAATTCAAATATTCATAGGAGCCCACGGTCGCGCCAAAAATGATATTCTCTGACCCTGATTATTTATAGGTACTCACTAAATAATTGGAACTCAGAAATGAGAGATATTCAAATTTTATCTCGAGTTCAGAATAGGTCGGTACTACTATAATACTGACTAGTAGTTCCTACAACACCAAAGACTAAATACTGCATGTTACGATAAAGTCCCCGGATTCGGTATTTCACACACACTTATAGTTTATCCAAAAACAATTGCAGAATCTCGTGCCGCACCTGCAGTCATTTCAAAGGAAACTTCAAACACGCCGACGCCGCACAGTGCGGAATATATTGCAATTGATATTGGATATACTTACCACTCTTTATAATATAACTCGAAAATCATCTGTAACTGATTTTTCCGAGGATTTTCCAATTCTACCTCGCTCTCCAACTAATACTAAACCCTAAAGATGATTCTAGCATTTTGATAACTTCGGAAATCTTTCGGCCATCTTCTTTCATCGTCTACATCCCTGGCGATCCGATCTCGAACGGGGCTTTCCGTCTTTCCGAGAACAGCGCCGCCAGTTTATTCCGCAAAAGGTATAAGTAGTCTCGTAACAAAATGTAGGTATAGCTCACAAAATATTTGTTATTCGGCAACCGTTAAAATCCCATATTCGTTGCATCCATTTCATACAACACTTCCCCAAAAATTTCCCAGATAACACCGGTCTCCAGCCGGCCGTAATGTAATACACATTAGCGGCGATTGAATTATTGTCTTAGAAGTGCTACAGTGACAACAAATTTCAATGCCCATTGATTGGAGCGCTCAGTCACCAACGTATATGCGCTTGCATATCTGTATCGAGGAGGATGAGTTTTTCGAGCGCTTTGCAAGTATCTGACCGCGAACTACAAACTGCTCATTCAAAGTTTGTATAGTCATAGTGCGTTACAAATGCTGGGCCGATGGTTGGTGTTATCTGGGTGAACGCACCACCAAAACGTATCAAAAAGTTTGAGATACATTCTCGCCAGAACAACTTTTCCTATTTGGACGTTTTCTGTTTTGAATGACAGGTGAGTTGTGAGAAATTATCCAGAATAGGTTGTAAGTCGGTATCGCTACCATGGCATGGCCAGCTCAGAGCCCGGATTTGAATCCCATTAAGAAACTGGGACATTCTTGAGACACGAGTATAAGAGGAACGTAAAACTTATTGAATACTTTGGAAGAGACACGGCAGGGACACTGATTCAAATTTGGAAAGACCTGGACCAAAATGTCCACGAACAGAAAATACTCACTACTGAACTTGATAGTATATAACTATTACACTCTACAGGGTAGGTATTAGAAATTTCATTAAAAAACACAGTAGGTATAATCGCTGCACCCGGTATTTATAAAATAGAAGTTTTTATGTGAAAAGAGTTTGCACACCAATGTTCAGAAGGAGATAACTTGCCATTCAAAACAAAAAACGTCCAAATCGGGCAAGTAGTTTTGACGAAAATGTATCTTCAACTTTTGGCTACCTTTAGGTAGTGCGCTAATTTTTTTTGGGAAGTGTATTTTGATGTTGAAATTTTCAAGACGATGTTTCGTAAACATTATCAAAGGAAAGTGAAACTGTACGAAGACGATGTAGTGATTCTACAAGATATTAAGGACGTTGCGATATTCACTTGCAATCTGAATATTTTGACGTTGGAGTTCATCAGTTATTTCCACACCAAAGCCATGGATGTATTATTGCGATCTCTGATTATCTACTTCCAATATTATTGCCAGGTAAGAATTATTGCCAGTTCTGTTGCTGCACGCTTCATCGAGATCGAAACATTAAAAAACTGCTACATTTTACATTCTAATTTCAATGGCTATTAAAAATTGTCAGACGATAAATTCAATCTCATTAGTACGTTATTTCCATTATCTTAATCACCTGTTTGAATACTTTGAATACTCTAAATATTTATTAAATCCTTTTTGAATATTTTGTGAATCCTACATAATAATTTTGAATATAGGATCAAAAATGTACGTTGAAATCTTTTGCAATTGGTCAAGGTCGTTGACTTCTCGACGGCTTGTGATCACGATAGTGAAGGAATGCGAATTTTGACAAAAGAATCATAATCTCCGACCCCGAAATTTCTCAAATTTTACCTTTATCCATATATCTGGCCCCACGGGAAGATATTCAGGTGGTCCAAAATACTTATAGTTTTCATTTTTGAAGGACCGCTGAAGCTCCCCGCGAGGCTTCCCGGGACATAAGCGTATAGAATAGATAAGTATAAAAATCATAAAATTTTATTTAATAATCTATTTTTGATATTTTATCACAGATAATGCCCCAAAATCAGGGGACAAAGAGCATGGATTCAAATCAATGATATGCCTTATGTATTTTTGACAAAAAAAATCATAGAAAGATATTATTTTCCTAATGAAAATGGCAGGTTTTCTATTTGATCTTCGAATTTTGTGGTGAAGATTAGGTCAAATGAACAGGTGATATTCATTCTACTACAAAACACGACATTTTGTGAATATTTTTCAATGCCCATTAATTATTTTAAGTACTCTCAAATATAGCTTTTAAATACCTCTTCATAACTCAAGAATCCAAAATATTTTGAATATGGTGTACACTTTATGGAAGTTGATTCTTCCTGATAGCTTTATAATTTTCGAGATAATTATTGAAATCCAAATTTCAAATACTTAATCAAAACACGCGAAAAGTACGACAGAAGATTTCTGTCTAAAACAATATAAAATCCATTGATCGATAGGCAACACCCCATATTTTCCCTACAGAGCATTTTTGAACCATATTATGTAAAGCAAACTATTATTAATTTAGCCAGCTCCACACTCTCTTGAATATTGTCATATCACTCTGTTAATCTCAAAACTTCTCATTTTTTGTTTCATATTCATTTTATGTTGAAATAAGTGATGCTCAACTTGTTAACAAGCTCTCGATTTATGGTATCGCCAAAGTGCAGCAGCAGAAAGTAAACTTTTAGCGTTTAAAAATCCTATCATTGTCAAATTTTCCGAGGTATGGAACAAAATGCAACAACGTAGGATAGAAGCGAGCAGAAAACTGAGACAACCGATCGTAACAGTCCTGGAAGACGTAATCAGAGACGATTTAGCGGATTTGCGCAGCATGGTGGCCAGAGATTACGCCATGATTCTGATGGGCAAGGGGGATTCACAGCCGTTCCACCACATGAGCAACAAAAATAACATTTCCATGTCCGACAAGGACCGGAAACACTTCGAGATGTTCATTTTGATGGCACAAAGAGTGGTGTGGATCGCTTTGGGGAGGAAATATATGACTCTCATAGGTAAACTGATGGTTGTCCCATTCAAGTAGAGGATGCACGCAATATTTATTTCAAAGGATTTTCATCTCTTTTAATCGATATCTGCATGAATTCATCATGGCGTTAATAACTTTGATTTTTCAAATCGAATTTTCAGATTTTGTTTGGGAAGTTTTTTGTTCTAAATTCTCAGTCTAGTTGTGTTATATTTTCAACCAGTGAATTTCTAAGATACATCTGAATAGCCTGTCGTACTTCACGATCTATGGCAACTTTTTTTTTTCATGTCATTATGTCTAATAGAACATCCCATTTTTGTATCGCCCCAATCGCCCCACCCACCCTATATAGCAATTTATGCAAAACCCTTAACAAATTCTCACCATAAAGTTTTTTTTATACGGAAAATGGATGATTGTTTGGCTTGTTTGGATACATTGAGAAATCGCTATCAAGATTCAACTGATTTCAACAATGTCATCGTATTGCCTGCTCAATGCGGGATGGCCTGTGACGTCATTATCCAATCACACGTTCTCAAATTCAAATAATTATCCGATTATTTTGAAGCCGCATCTACTATTTTCAATTCATTCCTTCACATATCTATTATTAAATTGCTGTCCTTGGTGAGTTTGAGCTGAAAAAATTAATCTTTCTCATTTTGACGTTGATTTATATCTGATGTCTGTGAAGATGATTCCTTTGCAGAAAAAGAATTGAATAGGCTTTTAAGGACTGACACATTCAACCCAATTGAACATGGTTTTCCGAAATCGGCAATGTACAAAGCTACACCGGAAGAAATGAGGATTCTCAAAGGCAAAGCTTGTAAACATGAACGAAAACTACTACACAGATCTCCCGCTATTCAGGAAATCATTCTGAATGATCATGACTACAGGATGCTCGCGATAGGTGTTACGGACACTGGCTTGTAAGTGTAATAATAAAAAATTCACATTTTATGATTTACGTATTTTGATTTTAGACTACTTACCTTCCGTATTTTAAATCATCGACTTTTTTCCACCTTATATTATAAGAAGGAAACATATTGTTTTAATTCTTTAATATCCTAGCAATGATGAAAGACAAATATACTTGGAAGCTGCCTATATTGCTCCCGAAGAAATGCTTGAAGAACTCGGAATTGGGATTGGAATTTTAGGGGTGCCCCGTAAATATCTGGATACCGAACTGAAGCCAAAAGAAATATCGACCACCCAAAGACGCGTCTCAATCATGAAACCCATTCCTGAATTCGTGATACCTCCCAGAAAAGGATATGGGTAATAATGGAAAGCTTTGTTTACCAAACACACACCAGAGTGTCCGTTTTTCGAGCTCCACCATGGGCACATTGAACGAAATCTGGCACCGCACCCAAATTTTTACCTGATGACACAAATTAACACTAAACTCTACTGAAAGCTGCATTTTCATTGAGGTTATGTTCTCATTGTTATCTGCTCATTTATTCATGGTCTAGGGCGCTGTTTTCGTTGTATTCGTTAATTCATTTGTTGATTGTAATTTGTGATTAATATAGGGAAGGGAAGTATTTGATCGTTTATGATTCTCACTTAGGAGGTTTCGCATTCTTCTTATTTCCTTTCGTTTTCAGTTCGGGTTTTCGCAAAATTTATCATACTTTTATATTCATACTATATAGATTAATCGATGTCATTGTTTGCCGCAAGAAAGTTTCTCAATTGCTATAGTTCGAAAAATGAAATTATTTGAATCATTTCAACAGGCATTTTAGATTGCGAATTCACCTTAATACTCACATGTACAGAAATATGTGATGCTAAATAATTGAAGGGTGCAGGGGAATAACCTGCAGCCAAGACACAAATAGTGATATCCGAGTTTTGCAATTTTAAAACAACAATTTTTAGTTATTGCCATTTTCAGGTAAAAATTCGTTATAAATTTGTTCCAAATTGGTGATGTGAGTTGAAAATTGTGCAACATAAAACTTCATCCTGTTGTATATGTATTGTATGAAGTTATGGCATCTCTAGGAGAGCGAATCTTCACATGATTTAATATCACATTTACGATTACTGTGACACCCTGTTTTTTCCCGTGTTTAAGGAGAAGTTTCCTTTCTGATACATTTTTATTTATGTAAAAACTTTACAAACGATAAGAAGCCAACGTTGGTTTAGTTCATTGTATCAGTATATCACCTGATGAAGCTACTGTGTGGATATCTTATCGTAAGTATTTACATTTTGCCATGGATTTCCATCAAGTAACATCAGTCAATTAAAAAAAAAAATTGTTATTCATGAAAAAGTATCAAATTTCTAATGTAATTCTTAAAAAACAGCAAAATTACATTCAACTGTGTGGAATACTACTCAAATATTCTTGGGCAGTGGGTCCACAAAATTTCTTCAAACATTTGCAGAACATGAACAGCTCTCTTTTTCGTTTTTTTTTTTTCAAATCACCACGGCTTCAGAACGATCACTGTGATGATCATTATACACTCAAATAAAACTATACTGTAAGAGACGTTACAAACGCATTATCACAGGGAACACATGAGAAACACAACGTGAAACTGATATCCCCTCGATTTGGTACTTCTGACTTAGCTTGTTTTTCCCCAGTAGCGCCCGGACTTAGCCGGTTTTTCCCACAAGCGTCTATAAACACCGAAGGCTCTCCGCATCCGATGATGTCCGATCACCTTCGGATCATTCGCAGCTGCCTTTCGCGCGCGTTTGATTTTCACCCAGCTACTTCTTTACTTATTATTTTTGGTTATTGTGTGTATGAATGGATTTTGGCATTGTATTTTTTCGAATTGTTTGCTTCTTTACCAGAAATCCAGAATGACTTGTTGCCCTATTTGTAATCAATCGTTTTACAACGTCGTAGCTAGAACTATCATTATACAGGGTGTATCTTAAATGATGAGTTCAATTTCAGGTGGTAATTCCTTGTCATATTCATGACAAAAAGTTCATATAAACGTGTGTCCTAATTTGCTCCGTTTCCGAGTAACGGGGTGTTCAAAGTTGAATTGAATATCGGTTTTTCATGAATTACTGTTCGCCGATTTTGATTAAACTTCGTGTGTTTGTGATTTGTAATAGCTTCTTTTCATGGAAGTAGATTTTGAATTTTGTTTCCAGTGGTGTGTGATATTCACTGTAGTAACTATATTGTACGCTGATGTTGTTGCTGAGTTTGATATTATTGGAAATTAATAGCAAAACGTTATCGTTATGCAATCAATGTCTGTGCTTCTCTGTTACTTTTTACTTTTTCATTAAACTTTGGACACCCCGTTACTCGAAAACGGAGCAAGTTAGGAGTGTTAGGACACACGTTTATAGTAACTTTTTGTCATGAAATATGACAAGGAATCACCACCTGAAATTAAAGTCATCATTTAAGATACAACCTGTATTTTATCAATTACACCCTTATGTCAAGTTATTGATGGGTCACCTTGTATGCATTATTGTTAGCCCATTATATCTATTCTGAGTCGAAAAATATGTCAGAATATTGGGGCCTGTACAGGCCCAAGTATCCACAATTTGCAAGTTTTCAAAATGTGCGTACCTAGCACATGAACATTACATCGAATTACTTGCAAGCCTAAAGAATGAATAGGTTTTTTTCAGGTATTTTACTTGGTTATGGCTATGGCTACATAGTGTGATCATTTTCGATATAAAAGACTATTGCCCTGATGCTCATGTAGGCGTTTTTAGATGTGCAGACATTTCAACATTAACTATTAAGTATAGGTAGGTACCTCTATATTCAACCTTTTCATTCTTTCCTATAGATGAGAGAAATTCAATAATCAACGAGAGCTTTGATTGTGATTTTCTGACCAGCAGAAGATTCTGGAAGCATTAAAAATTGGTAAAGAAAAAAGAGAAACCAATGAATAGAATTCCGAAAAAGAAAAATTCAAACTAGAGCTTATTAAACTCGTTGATAGTATAGTCACATTTACCATCTGAAACGCATCAAAATAAAAAAGTTACTCAACACAGAAGTATATACCGAACAATCAAAAAAGCTGTTCCTATAATAAACGACTTATTTAGTAATAAATTAATCCATCCAGATGATATGGACGCCGATAATATCGCAATAAATCTGATGTATCCACAAAAAAAAATTAATAAGTAAATAAGTTTTGTTTATTGCGTCAATTTTGCCCTGATATAAAAAAAAAACATGTGAGGCCTTTGCAATGTTTAGCTCTCGCAATATAAGCATCTCATTTGGAAAGAAAAAAATACTTTGCATAATTTTTCCAAAACATTACACTCGATCACTTGATACTCATGGATTATTATTATGTTTTTAAATTTGGCGCGTGCTCTGCATCAGCGGCGACGTCCGACCATGATCGGACATCATCGGATGCAGAGAGCCTCCGGTGTTTATAGACGCTTCTGTTTTTCCCCTGTATGCGAATTTTCAAATCAGCCACATCTTGTGACTTGTCTAGTTATTCTCCTGTTCACTTGATCCATCAGAGAGAGTAGAATATTTGCCACCAGATGGTGCTATCGCAATTTCACTAAATATAGGCGTTTTTTCCCTAAACCCTTCAATTATTTTACTTGAAGAAGTTACTGTTTATTCACTATGAATTTCGACTTATTTTTCCAAGTTTCAACTTGTTTCAGTGACTCCATGATTACGGAGACCCTCCCAAAAGCCCGTTGCAGGTACCATGAATCGGAAGCATCGAAAACTGCACGCAAGAAACAATGCAAACTGTGGAGGGAATACGTAACGAGGGTGGGTCAACCTCCACCGGTTTATGCAGACACTTTATCTTGCCCCTCGCATGTCACCCTGCGAACCTCAATCGCCCCAGCGTACAGTAAATATGGCTAACTAGATTATACGTGAAAATATTCCACTCAATAGAGACGTTCAGCTAGCATTGGGAGAGAAAAAAATTAAAATTTCTTGTTGGTAACATTAAAAATGAGAAGAAATGGGTTGCGTGCAAGAACTGTCAGATGACCGACCCTGGAGGTGAAACATTGTAACACAACCTCACTTTTCTTATTTGTTTACAAGTCTTTGAAATAGTTTTTCACGATTATTTTGGCATGCGAATCGTGTTTTTAGGCTATTCATTATTTCGCGCATGCCATCACATTGTGCTGTTGTGCAATGCACAAAAAATGCAACGAGAGACGAAGGAATCCAATTGGTGCATTATGATTTGAGTACCTACTATAGTCACTCACCTCACATGTAGTTTTCATTTTGAAATTTGGTAATTTCTCTGATTTTTCATCGGAATTCCTTCTGCAATAGGAGCTAATAGAAATACTCGTGAAATTCCTTAAAGAATGCAAGAAGATTGGATTCATGCAATCAAACGGGAGGACTGGTCTGACATGCTGACGAAATATGATCTTGTGTTGTAGACATTTCCAATCTATTAGCAGTATAATTGCAGAAGTGACAGAAGGAATTTTAATAAGAAATGACAAAATTCCATGATGAAAACTATGTGAAATTACTATTTACCTGTAAAATCATATTACTTCGTCTCTCGCTGCATTTTTTGTGCATGGTACAACAGCACAATGAGAAGGCATGCTTGAATTAATGAATACCGCAAAAAACACGATTCGTATGCCAAAATATTGTGAAAAACTATTTCAATCCTTTGATTCCTCTGTAAACATGAAAAAAAAGTGTGGTTGTGTTTCAATGTTTCACAGAAGAGTGAGGTTGTTTCAATATTTTACCTCCAACATCAATTTTTCAATATTATACGTTGAAACCCTGAAGGCGAAGACAAAAGAGGAATACCAAAGGGGAAGAGATTTCTGTCTCTAATATCACGATCACTCTGAACTCTATTGAATGAAATGATTCATTGAAGTGACTCGGCATCTTCGTCAAATTCCAACTCTTTTTATGCATAAATGGACTGAATAATTTCAACCATACTTTGTTCTTGCAAATTATATAATATGTAATATTAATTATATTTCCTACTGCTTTTTTATTTCGACAAAGAGAATGGAGCGAATATTTTGAGTAGGCCCTACTTGACGTCATATCAATGTTAAATACGGCTCGTTACGTTAGATTAGTGGCAGTTTCAGCGTCTTCTGCCACTGTGAAATCTTGCAGTTTGACTTCATACACTTTTCCAAAAGTATTTTAAAATAATATTATATAATTTTTATTGACTCATATTTAACCATTCAAACGCTTAACCTAATATTTCATGAATACTGACACTACATCACCATTTCGGCACCAGTGACCAATAGTAAACATTTAACAGGGATCCTTGCAATGATGAAAACGTTGCCAGAAAATTTCATAAAAATCGGACCGATATAATATACTGGGCAGTACTATTGGGGAATATTAGAACATGCTCTATGTCCATCTATTCTTGAACTATTTTTATTATTATCATTATTATCACAATAGGTTTTGTCTTATATAATCTATCAATGCAGTTTCATTCAGAAGTAATTGTACATCTTTTTTCAAGTCATTAAGTTCATACAGAGGCACTGGCTCTAAAGTTCTTTTGTTGATTATTATAACAAAACGATACCCTACACGTTTTGCATCAATTAACCTTCGGCCTAATGTCAAAGAACTACGGTCATCTAGCAAAACATTGTCTTGCAACTGATGGATTTGAACTTCCAATTGGTCATATAAAGTTTCAGCAAAATTCTTTGTTGCTGCATCTTCTTTACTACCAGCCTAAAATCAATGTTAAACACTTCTCTTTCAGAATGTTTTGTAAATAATTCCAATGATTTTTGTTGAAATATGTATAAATCTCCAAATTAAGATGATTTTGTATGGCAGCAAAAAAATTAAACCTTGTCATATCTAAATGAAAAATATTTGAATTTTGAAATTTATGGAAGTTTGTTTGTTTGTTGAAAAATAATAATCATTTGAATGAGTTATAAAGAAAAAAATCTTACTTTGGGAGGTATGATAACAACATTGAATGGAGCTAAAGAATCTGGCCACCTCATTTCTGTCTCTGAAGAGAGAACTTCAATGGAAGCAGCTAAAATTCTACTGAGCCCTAAGCCATAGCTTCCCATCTGAAAAGGCTTCAATTCTCCACTACTGGAAATAAAGTTGGCTTCTAAAGACCTGGAATACTTATCTCCAAGCAGAAAAGTATGGCCAACCTAAAATAAATTCTCAACTGAAGTGAAAACTTCAACTTTTAGTAATATTCCTCACTTCAATACCATTCTGGATATTAATTTTTGAATCTTCACCACAGTTTGGACACATTTGATTCTGACAAAGTTCTACATTAGCCAAATAATCACATTTATTGCAAGACAGTAAATTATCTTCACCTATAGGGGCTTTGATGTGATATTCATGAGACAAATTACCCCCCATAGTGCCAGAGCTACCCAAAACTAAAAAAAAATGTATGAAAGTTGTAACACAGCTTCTAAATATTTTACCTTTCACAATATTCACATTCAAACTTCTGAAAATCTTTTCATAGCTGTCACAAACCCCCTCATATGTTTTAATAGAACTTTCTACATCAACATCAAAACTGTACATATCCTTCATAATGAATTCTCTACACCTCATGAGTCCAAATTTTGGTTTAATTTCATCTCTGAACTTGCTTGAAATCTGGTACAGCCTAAGGGGAAAATTCTTGTATGAGATTGGCCCTATAGCTGACAACAGATCACTAGCAGCTTCTTCATGGGTCTAAAAGGAGATGTAAGCATGTCAAATGTATCTGGATATCTTGGTAATATATATAATTTACTTACAGGACTCAAAATATACCTATTTTTGTGACGGTCATTCAACTGAAAAAGTTCAGGTCCTGCAGCCTCCAAACGACCTGAATGAATAAAGTAGATGCTCACAATATTATATCACAAAAAATACAATTGAAATTGGAAATACTTACCACTACGTTTCCACATTTTACTGTTTATTAGTGTTGGGAAAAGAACTTTTTGTCCACCAATGTTGAACATTGCTCTATCCACAATTTTAACCAGTTTATTAAAGGATTTCAATCCTAGAGGTAGGAAATGGAAACATCCTGGATTTGCTTGTTGAATTATTCCAAGTTCAAGCATAAGCTATAATCAGGGGTTGTTTTCTACTACTTTATGTCAATCTACTACCACCTTATAATATTTCTATTTTTCTACAAACTACATACCCTCTGGCTCTTGGAAGAAACATCTGGTCTAGTCAAATTTGAGGTCTTTGAGATAACAGTGGAAGGTTGAAATATTTTGGAAATGCGATGTCTCACATTCATCGACATTATTTGAAATAAATAATCTAGAACCGAAGTTTTCGAAATTGTTTTGAAAAGAAAACGAAACCTAACCTAACATAAATGAGGTTCTTACTTCTTCTTATTTCTTCCTTTGACATTTACGTCTCATTAACCTAAAAAGTTGATCATCTTCTAAACAGTGGCGTACCTATTAGATTCCTCGAGTTTCCTAAACTTTATTTTAACAACTCAAGATCTCAGAGAGTAATATCTAGAGATATTATTGTTGAAGAACACTGACTATTACTAGAGGATAATATGATTAATGGATATTTGATATTCATGAGCCCTCTTTTAGTCATATTTCAAAATCGCACAATTTCTTCTATGCAAAATAATATTCATTTCATGTTCATTCATTCACATCAATAATTAGATTTTAGTTAGATTTGACTTGAAAAATTATGGAAAGGTATGAAAATGGAAAAAATAAAAACATAGATACTTCACCTGGATCTTAAACAGTTTATAGACATAAATTAATATATACATAATAAATCTGGGTAATGTAAAATCAGAAAACAACAATAATCATGTAAATTAATTTGAAATGGACACAATAATGTCTGGAATCATGAATAAATTTGAAACTATATAAATAGAATTCTCACAGCTAATAGCTAGATCTGAAATTTTTCCTCTAAAAATGATTCATAATATGGTTTGGATCCATAAATGAAATCTATGTTCCCCAATTAAATGGGACTTTGAGCAATTTCATTTCCCTGAAAATAAGAACACTTGTTTCAATCAACTCAAATTATCAAGTCAAAACTTTCTTGTGCAAGAGGTGAAGATGAAGAGATTTAGATTTCAAAAGTATATCAAATTTCAATTACCTATATATCATAGAGAACAAGAGATTCTTTAGAAAAATTAATTGTTGAAATGTAGAACATCAGATCCATATTATCATTAATCTATGAGAAAAATGTACAAACAATAGAAAAAGCTTCAACTTACCCACTGTTTTGCCATCCAAAGAATAGTGTTTCTGTCAACTTTAGGACCAATGAGAGGGTTCATCTGAGCCACATAACAACATATCCAGCTGAAATATATCTATATCAACTTCTCATAGAACAACTTTGTTAAAATTGATGATAATAAGTAGTATGATTTCAAATTCCCAGTTGAAAGGGAATGGTATGGTTCCTAAATGTCTAGTGACCTAGTGTCACATGATACACATGGATTAGGTATCAAAAATGTACTTATTACTTACAATAACCAGCAGCATACCCCCGTCAGCATCAAAATAACTTGAATGATCCTGCAAAATGTACTAATTGTATTCACATTATCACAAATGGATAGCTTACCCTCTGTTTGGACCTTTAGGAACAAAAAATGGTAGTACTCCTCCAATACCTCCCCAAAGAACGGTGAATATGATGAAGGGTAATACTGCTGCGCCCATTTTATAAGTTTTTCCTTAACTAATATGAAGAATAAAGTATCTCCCTTTATTTTACAGGATCCAAATAATAATTCCACAACCCACACCTTCCAAATCGTGAGGAATCATATGATCACCCAGCAGATCACCTGGTCACCATGACGTTTGACTTATGACGCAACGCAATGGGATTTGACCTTGACAGCTTTGACACGTTTCGCAAGATTGATAAACGACCTATTTCTCATCAATTTCAGTTCATTGTTTCTCATGCATATCTGTGACGTTTTGTGTACTATGAGCACGAACTCAAATCTTTCAACAAATACTCCTTGTGGTGGTATAAATTAGTCCCTTGATGAAAATTTACGTTAAATTCATCTTAACAGGGTACTCCTCGCAATGAACTCAATTATATTCAGTTCATTGACTCCTCGTCTCCTCTCACTAATGATGGAAGTAAGAAAAGTGTTTGTGAAACAGTGATATAGTTTCATCCTTATTCGATAGCTAATGATAAATTATTGATGGAAATTGAAAAAATGTACAGTGTGTTCGAGACGCAGTGATTTTCGCACGAATCATTTGTTGCGCCGTCTCTAGAATACTCTAGATCAAGGTTGGTAGAACTGATGACTATTTTGTAATCAGTTCTACCAACCTTGCTCTAGATGCCTGATCTCAGGTCGGATTGAATTCAAGCATTCAATGACCTGTGGTTCCGACACATCTCTGTTCCGACTTTTGCCGTTCTGTTCTGTGTTCTGTGCATCAAACTGAATTATATGTTCTGTGTCACTCGTTCAACGGTTGAACTTTCAAGTTTTCAACTTTTCAAGAAATAAAAAAATACAATTTTAACGGAAATATTGTGAAATTATCATTTTTGTTTTTCTTCAAGAAGTCTCCCACAGAAAGCTACTGATCTCTGACACACACATTTCTGAACTTGAAGCCTCAGCAGCACATGAACGTATGAGCTGATATCAGGGGTTGTGTTTATATTATTGTTCCTCTATATTTGTCAATCAATTTCAAAGCTATGGCCCAAGTCTCAATATTACCAGAAGATTATGATACTCTTAAAATAGAGTACCTGTCCCTTAAGAAACAACTAGATAATGTGAACCAGGAGCTTTATGATTGCAAACGGCAATTGAAAACAATGGGAGCTTTGCAAATGGATTACCAAAGTGAAATTGATATGTTACAAAGTGATCAAATTCGACAAAAGCAAAAATACCAAGAAACAATTCTAAATCTTGAAGAGCAGATCAACAAAATGCGATCAACTCATAGTGAACAAATACTAACACTGGAAACTGATTTAATGAAAATGGAAGAGAAATATGAAAGCCTGGAAAGTGAAGTTGATGTTTTAAGGAAGTCTAACACAGATATGTCTTTTGGTGGTGATACTAGTAAACTTATAGAGGAGATACTGAGCCTCAAAGAGGAAAATAATGGCTTCAATGAAAATCACCAGGAATTGTTGACTAATTTAAAAGACTTCCAGGAAAAAAATACAGAACTTCAAAGGTCTTTAGTTGTGAGTTTGATTTGTTTTCAAAGTTGTGTGTCATATTCATATGTGAATTTTTCCATTGGATATAAATTCTTCTATTCCAAGTATTATTTATATCTAAACAATTATGATCCAACATCTATTGCAGGAGTACAAGGAAGAAATTTCAAATCTGAAAGAAAGTTTAGATTGTAAGAGGGATGAACTTGCAGAGAAAAATATCTTGATACAGCAATTAAATGATGAGGTATTTTGTCTAAAATCTGAACTAGAATCACACAAAAGTAAACCATTGGATGAAAAGAGTAAAGGAAACTCATTATTTGCAGAAGTAAATGACAGGTAAAGTAGGGTCTAAATGCAAACAAATACTCATCATTTTATTTGCTCTAACCAGGGTTGGGCTGATTTAAATCAACATAAAAATCATGATTTTAAACAAGTGATTTAAAAAAAAAACAATTCAAATCAAAGCCAATGATAATTTCCAGAACATTTATCATTTATCTGAATAATAAAGAATATTAGACCAACTTGGCAACAGAAAGAAAAACAAGTTTTGGGAATGGTTGAATTTATTTGGGCAAAATTGTAAAATTAGTCTTTTTACCCCAGTTCTCAAATGTTGAAAATATGCTCCATATTAATTACTATTTTCTCTACTTACTTTCCCTTTCACTCCTTGTATATGCTTGTTCAGATGGTTCTTCACAAATTTCATGATGTATTTTTAACCATTGAACTATTTCTTGTATTTCTTTGTTGCATTTTTTGCTCTACATCCAGATTTTTTTGGATCAGTTTTTTTCATGGAAAACTGCCAGATATAATCTCCTCTTCCAAACATACTTAAATTATAAAACACTTTTCAAAATTACTTTTGCTTGCACTTTGTACTTCAATGGAAGAATGATCACAGAGAAAAATCATTCTTATGGGTCTTATATTTTATATAATACTCAAATTGATGAAATACCCATTATATTATCATAACATAGGTATAATCATTCATCAAATGATGAAATTATATTTTCTTCCCTTTCAATCCTATTTGAATGTCAGAAAGTGATAAATAGCAATGAACCATTTGTCAATTCTCAACTTATTTTTCTAAATTCTTTCAAATATTTATTAATTGCTTTTAGTTGAATACTACATTTTTGTGAATACAATGTGAAAACAAAATATCAAATTGTATTTAGTCAACATATTAAAGTGACATGTGAGATAGATGAATTTTTCATGAATTATTATTGCTGTCCAACAATAGATTAAAAAGCGCCCCCAACACTATATTATATTATTACCACTAGCTGACCCGGCAAACGTTGTTTTGCCATAATCATTTTTTCTAGAAAACATTTTTTAGGCTGAATATTTATCAACACGCTCTATCTCTCTTTTTAAACTATACAAATTTTGAATGGAATCGGATCATAGTTACAAAACTCGTCCGCCATATTGGATCTGCCATCTTGGATTTCCAAATTTTGATGAAAGAATCGTTATCTTCGACTCAAAAAAAAACCTAGATACCAATTTTGAATTGAATCTGATCATAATTGAACAACTCTTACGCCATATCAGATCCGCCATTTCGAATTTCCTAATTTGGACGAAGGAATCATAATCTCCGACCAATTTTGATAGAATCTGACCATAATTATAAATGTCGTCCGCCATATTAGTTCCGCCATCTTCAATTTCAAAATTTTGACGAAAGAATTATAATCTCCGACCCCCATAACCCTCAGATATCAATTTCGAATAGAATCGGATCATAATCACAAAACTCGTCCGCCATATTGGATCCGCCATTTCGACTCGTCCGCCATATTGGATCCGCCATTTCGAATTTCCTAATTTTAACGAAGAAATCATTATCTCCGACCCCGAAAACCCCCAGTTACCAATTTTGAATTGAATCGGGCCATAATCAAAAAACTCGTCCGCCATTTCGAATTTCCTAATTTTGACGAGTGAATCGTAATCTCCGACCCCGAAAACCCCCAGCTACCAATTTTGAATTGAATCGGGCCATAATCAAAAAACTCGTCCGCCATTTCGAATTTCCTAATTTTGACGAGTGAATCGTAATCTCCGACCCCGAAAACCCCTAGATACCAATTTTGAATAAAATCGCATAACAAAAATCGCCATCTTGACGACTTTCGAAAAAAAAAAACGAAAACTAGAGTTCAGAACTTTTTTTTCGACGTATTTTTTTAACTAGACGACCCTTCGATGTTCAATTCTCAGTAGCAGACCTCTGCAAGATTCAATTAATCACATGATAATCCATTTTAATTTCAATCTTCTTATGCAACATTTTGACTGTTGAATAGACGATCGGTAGACCTTTCAATCAAGGTGTCACATGACCCCTATTTGTATTTGAAAAAATCGGCCATCACGTCTTTACTCCAACACCGGTGACGTAACATCTCTCATATGAATATCATGTATTCCATACATTTGCATCATACTGTATATTAGATAAGTGCACACAGTGAATATTCAACTACTTTCCAAAATAAATAATATTAATCTTCATTAATCCTAAGGAAAACATGTTTATAGCAGGAAAAATTATGAGAGCAAATAACAAATTTAGAGAATTAGATAATTATTTTAAATCATGAGTCTGTTAATGAATAATTTTATCTGTAGTACATACAATGTTTTTTCTTCTTGAGACTTCTTGAGGAATGTATAAGTTCTTGATTTGATTTAAGATGATAATAGAGAATCAAAAACATACATATTTTTTCAGTTCTCTTTTAAATATAACACTGTCCCTCGCGCCGCGGAAATTTTTATTTATATCGGTTAACGTAACTATCATTTTATTCCATTCGATGAAGCTAATATAATGGTACTCTTTGGATGAGTTTGCCTTCAGGCCCAAGAGTATGAACTAACGGAGATCAAACATAAATTTCAGGAGAGTTTATCTACAAGACACTATCAATAAAATGAAGGTTGAATATATCGCTATGAAACAAGAGAGGGCAATTAACTCGAATACTATACACCAATTGAAATTAGAAATCGCCAGATTGCTCAACAGATGGAAAACAGAAAAAACCGAAAAAGAAGATGACGAATATGAAGTCGTCAACTCTCTACAGTGAGATGAACGATAGTAAACATATTTGAAAATATATCTTGATTATTTTAGGGATCGAATAAAAGTTTTGGAAGATACAATTGCTAGATGCAACAAAGAATTGGCATCCAAGCCAGTGGTCATGTACAAGAACAATTTTGAGGAAATTCATCAGTATTATGAAGTTGTACTGAAAAAAAAGAAGTAGGTGCCCAAGAATTACCGAAAAATTAATGGTAACAAAACATGGAAGCATATAACAAGCTAGTAAAAATCACTAGCATATTATTCTCTTTCTAGTTGGTTATGGGCAGGGTTTTCACATATATTCTGAACCCATTAACATTTTTATTCAGGTATCATTGAATTATTTTTTCAAGGAAGGGTTCTTTATAATTCTTCCTGTAGGTTTTATAAAATAATTGAACTGCTCAAGAAAAGTTTATGGGCAACTCTTCTTGAAGGAACCCCCTATATAATGTGTAACTATCAGAGGTAGAGTATATTTTTGTGATGTTCGTGGATGCGGTGGTTAAACATTTTACCTATCTGACCAATATACTTCCGTGAGTTAACGTGATGTATTATATAAATAACTAATACTGAAACTATCATGGTATTGAAAATTCATAAGGGCGGTGGAGTATTTATACATCGAGAATCCAAATTAACCATTTTCGTTATTGTAAAGCTTCTTTTCGTGAAGAGACGTTGTTCATATCATATTTGTCGATAAATATTCTGCACAGCTTACTGGGAAAATCCAAAATTGTCGGCAGTTATTATGTATGAATATTTATGGACTACCTCCGAAATTATGGGTTTTGGGTATAGGGATGTTGATTATTGAAAGGAAGGCTCACTTTTATGATACAATAATTATTATTGAATCATGAGTAGACAAAATGTTGTGAATGGCGTCCTATTGAAAATAACAAAGGTGATGTCACCTCCGCAAAAATCAAAAGCTTCTCAATAACGAGAAAATGTTTTGAACTAGTTTGCGGAAAAGAGGAATTTGGGGAAGTGACTTTTCCGCATTTGTTAGGTAAACTACTATAGTTGAATTCTCATGTTTACTTTACCGCCCCTTTGAAAATCGCGTCTTTCATTTTTGTTATTTGTTCTATAAGCAACTGCCAAATCTTAATGTTGAAAGTTATAGTATAGTAGTAGTAGTATATAGTATATATAATCACTCTGTTGATGATCTGAAACAGAATAAAGTTCTATAATTTTGATTATTGTTTTTTATGGTAGGATAACAATCAATATCTCTTGAAATTGTTTTTTTAGTAGGTAATATCTACATCACTCCTTTCAAGTGAATCCTTCACACCATCAACTAGAAGGCAATTCGGTAATTCTAATTCTCGTTTTATGCCCATTTGTTAATTTCTTTTTTTGACTTCAAATTTACCACGTGGTTCAACCAATTCCTCAATTTCTCTACATTCCAGCAAAGAAATCAAAGAATTAGAAGAACAGATCTCTTCCAGAACAGTATCGCGCATTTTGATGTCCACCGCTTTGAAAAAGGCAAACGAGGAGAAGAGAAGATGGCAACTAGAGGCCACCATGAAACAAGAGCAGCTAGAGCTGAGAGATATGGAAGGAAAAATTGAGAGCAAATGCGCTCAGGACACAGATATTGACAGTTGTCAAAAATCAGAAAGGCCAACCAGTGCCCTCAAACAGAAGAGTGAAGATAACCTTGAGAGAGAGCGTGAAGACAAGAATGAAACCATCAGCAATATGAGTGATGATTGTAAAGTATCTGACATAGAAAAACGACCAAGTGCTTTGAAACTCACAAAGGACAGCAAAGAAATTGAAATTGAAGATGAAAACAGGAGAAGCAATGTAACCATTAGAAGATCTGAAAGTGACTATTGTGGAAAATCCAGTCAGGAAAAAAGAATGAGTGCTTTGAAAAAGATCAAAGAAGAGCATATCCACAGTATTGAGGATGAAATACAAGATTTGGGAAAAAAGATCAGTAACATAACTTTAAGAAGATCTGAGAGTGAGAGCTGCAGGAAATCTAACCAAGAGAAGCGAACAAGTACCTTGAAAGAAATAAGGGAAATTAATCTGTTAGGAAATAATGAAGCAACAGCATCTATAGAGCCGAATAAAAATGTCAATGACACGAAAACCCAAGAGATAATAGTGATTGAAGATAATGATGAGGACATTGATGGTTGTGCAAAAGGACTGGATAAAGAAAATTGTCCTGGAACTAGAACACAACATCCCATAGAGAAAATTAAACCTCAGAAAAAGGCAACGTTTTCTGAAGACACTGTTTCTCCTAAGAAAACTACAACTGGTTCAAGAACCTGCAGAAGAATAATTAGAACAAATCCAGTTTTTTTCACAACTGATCCAAAATAAGTTGAACAATTTTGGTGTTATTCTAATAGTCAAAATGCTGGTTCAATCCATGGGAATCCTATGGAAAATAGTAAGACTTTTTATAAATGTTTTATTTTTTCTTTTATATCTGTTTATGTGTTAATTTGTCCTGTTAGTGAGATAATCCATTTCATTTTCAAACCACCTCCAAAAATTTACATATATTAAATGTTTTGCATCTTATTTTCTGGTAGATTGGAATTTTGAAAAAACCGAGGAAAACAAAATAATTTGAAATTAAAACTCTCCAATATGGAGTCCAAATCTGGAAAGTCACCATATACTTGGTATTTTGTTAAAAAATGTTCAATATGCTTCAATGTTCAACTTATTTACAACTCATAGCTGATCTTAGTTGACAGAAAATTATTGGTAGTCACAAATCCACATCGCTTTCTTGTTAGAAGATTATTTCTTTTTGATGCAATATTTTTGTTTCTATGTTATTATTTAGATCCGCAAATATACAGGGTGAGTCTTTTTTTAGCAGGACTTACGATTTTAAGATGAAAATCTCGTAAACATATCAGATTATAGATAATCAAAAACGCCGAATAGCCCTAAATATTCAGTTTTTTCAGTGTAATAGGTGTGCCAAAACTGCCAAATTTCAATTCATTACTTTGAAGATTGTAAGAGGAAACTTGCAAACATCGAAAAAATCTTAAACTTCGACTCCCAGTTAACCGAAAACGAATCCCCCACGCACATAATATGTTTACATGATATCATCGTCTTGATAATATGTGTTCTTCAGACTGATGAAGTCCTTCAACAAAAAACTGACTCACCCTAAGAATATTCATAATGAGGTTCGGGTTATTTCGAAAAAAATGAAAAAGACTTCTACCGAATTATGTAAATACAAATTTTAATTATATTTATGTATAATGTATTTACAATAAATATATATTTTCATATTTTGATGAAAAGTTGGTATTCAATTACAATTACTAGATTTACCACTGTCATACCAAACATTTTTCAAAACGGTAACTTTATTGTAAATATCCTCCATATCGTCAGTAACTTCCATAAAAACCTTGGAATCGTAGACCGACATGAATTCGAAAACAGAGTCTTGATCATTCCCAAAATGAACAGCAACCAGCTTATTCCTAGCAATTGCTTTCGCATTATCCACATTATAAGGCAAAACGTTCAAAACACCCGTAGGCAGCAGCGAACTCAATTTTTTCAAAACATTGAAATGAACGCCTTGTTGACAAGAAAGTATCACAGCGTTGCCCGAATTCAAACAAGTCAAAATCAAGGCGATATTGTTGGATTCCGAAACGTCGACCGAAATAACACCTCTTGGTAGCCGAACAGATGTCAAGTTATAAGTTTGCGCTAAACTGACCCTGTCTTTGTAAGTGCCAGTGGAAGAATCCTGGATGGTTGCGATAGCAGAAAGTATCCAGTCTGAGGAAATACCACTGAAAACAAAAATTATCAATTTTCTTACGTTTAGGCGAAAACCCCGCGAAGAAACATCATTAAAGTGCAATATTTATGGTAGAGGTCCGAGGGTTGACCCTTGTGGAACACCCTACGAATCCTTATTAATGGCCCTCGAGCAAACTCACTTTAATGACTGTTGCTGGGCATCCAAATAATCGGCAAATTGTTGAAATATCTTGCGTTTTTCGAAATTTGATTGTCGGCTCCAAATAGCTTGAGACTTTTTTGCAGACACTATGATAGAGTTTATAGCGACATCAGATTTTTGTTCGGGCTCGACTTTTGTGATAGCTGGTGAATATCTCGAATAGCTAATATATTCGAGAAGTCCTAAAAAAAAATCAATTTTCGTTCTAGAATCTTTCGGCTAGTCCTGGAATTTACCTTCAATTCCACCAAAATAACCAATACCACTATCTTTCTGTGGACATATAGCAACTTCTGGGGAAAATGTTCCAAAACTATTCACCCACACATTGCCAACCTGAAATTAATAGAGAATCTCGAATAATTTATTATTTTTCACTATGCTCCTCCTCTCTATTCAAAGAGAAGACAATAAAATTTATTTTAATTGAAAAGTTGAGATAAAATTCTAACTACTCTCAAACACAACTCGGGCTAAAATCTAATATTTTTCCCTTGTATAAAAACTAACTATGACTCATCGCGATAGTTTAATAGGAATATTTGGATACAAACGTCATCTAATTGTGCATTTTTCTTTGTCACTCATTTGGCGTATTATTTCAGTATTATTGAACTCTATGCATTTCTTGATATTGTGGTATTTTGGGTATCTTTTTGTACTTTATTATCCTTAAATAGAGCAAATCGGGAATCATAAAGACACTTCAAAATGAGACAACAATAACTGGGCAGCTCTGTTTCGATAAATTCGATCCTGTTTGATTATGCGTGGAACATTCTCATTGTACTTACGTTCAGTTTTCTTGCTACTTCATTGACAACACCGATGTTTTCTGACCACACACAAGCTGCCATACCTTGCCTGGTATTGTTGGCTAAGTTAACGGCTTCTTCGATCGATCTGAAGGCCAAAACTGTCAGTTCGTTGCCTTCCTCGCAGGTCGAACTCAAAACATTATTAGCTTGTACTTTGCCTCCGATGAACAAAGTCGGGCTCCAAGTATCACAATTTTCATCGGCTTTGAATGTCTCGATTCCTTGTGCTTTGGCTAGGTCTATCAGAGAAGATAACGTGTTGGTGGTGGTTTCGTCTCTGTGCGCAATGTCGGTGAATTTATCATTTGCAGGACCCACTTTCAAAGACCTCAATTTCGGTTTGAATTTGTTTAGGAATGTTGATAGGACATTTTCTTGTACTAGTACGGTATTTGTAGACCATGGCAACTAAAAATTGCATCTCATTGAAGCAACCATACGAGAAAACAGAAGATATGATGCTAATCAGCCATTTGTTTACGCGTGTACGATGACCGAACCCTGGAGGTAAAATATTGAAACACAATCTCACTCTTCGGTGAAACATTGAAACACAACCTCACTTTTTTTATTTGTTTACAGAGGAATCAGGATCGAAATAGTTTTTCAAAATATTTTGACAATTTTCTGCAATAGAAGCTAATACTGCTAAAAGATTGAAAATGTCTACAACACACGATCATATTTCGTCAGCATGTCAGACCACTCCTCCTGTTTGATTGCATGAATCCAATCTTCTTGCATTATTTTAGAAATTTCACGAGTATTTCTATTAGTTTCCATTGCAGAAGGAATTCCGATGAGAAATCAGAGAAATTACCAAATTTAAAAAATGAGAACTATAAGTGAATGACGTAGTAGGTACTTACTTTTGAATCATAATGTACCAACCGGATTCCTTCGTCTCCCGCTGCATTTTTTGTGCATCGTACGACAGCACAATGTGATGGCATGCCGGAATCAATGAATAGCCGAAAAACACGATTCACATGCCAAAATAATTGTGAAAAACTATTTCAATCACTTGAACAAATAAGAAAAGTGAGGTAATGTTTCACCGCCAAGGTCGGTCATCTGCAAGGTCATCTGACAATTCTTGCACGCAACCCATTCGGAGTGAACCTCTCATCTAGACGTCAAAATAGTTGTATTGAAACCACTGACAACTAGGGTCCCTTGATGGAAATTGACGTTAAAGTCATCTTAACAGGGTACGGACAGATCCTCGTCTCCTCTCACTCTAAAGTGTTTGTGAAACAGTTATATAGTTCCATCCTTATTCAATTCTGGGGATAAACACTAGATTTTTGACATTCGCTGTTTTTTAGGTTATATTGAGGGCACTGGCGTATCATACGTAATTTCCATATGGAATTTACCCAACTATACCAAGATATAGATGAACAATCCTCTAGTTTTAGAGTTTACTACTCCAGCAAAATCTTTGCGAGTTAGGGAACATATCAATTGTACTGATGAAAGCTTAATATATTTCACCTAAGATGCCTAGAGACATCTCAATTTCACCAAAAGAGACTGTTCTTAGACTGTATACTAGGGTTGACTGAATGAATTCTGATTTCAAGCTGAGCAGTAGTTCATCTATGAGCTGAATAAGCAGAGCCTTATGATTGAGAAATGAGGGAAACCTCGGTGTGGGTATCTAAACTACTGTGCTCATGTCATGTGTGCTGAATATATTTTCGTAAGTTCAACTGGGAGAAGAATTATGGAGTTACTAATATAACACTATATATAAAACTTCGTCTAGGACGAGAAAAGGCTGAAAAAAGAATATACTCCACCTTATTTTTCCCTCTCCGTTGAATAAAAAGTCATTTTCGAATAATTCATTGATGAAAGTAACAAAGAAGTAGGTAAAAGGGCGTGTTTTTCATTCCATCGAAGAAAGTGCGCACTGATAGATGCGGTTTTTTGTCGTGACGTCACCAATTGTTCTGTTGGAATTTATGCTGGAAGGATTGAACAATGGTTATTATATCTTATAGGCACGTTATTTTCACTCTTGCATCCTACATATTTTCTATTTGTGGTAGAGTGATAATAATTATATAAACTACTGTCTTTCGCCATATTGAATCCATCATCTTGAATTTTCCAATTTTTACGAAACTACCGAGAACCACCAGATACCACATTTGAATAGAATCGGATCTTCATTACAAAACTTGTTCACCATACTGGATTCGCCATCTTGAGTAGTTATCCCAATTTTGACGAAATAATTATAATCTCCGACCCCGGAAATCCATAGATACCAATATTGATTTTTGAATAGAATCGGATCATGATTACAAAATTCGTTCGCCATATTGGATCCGCATCTTGAATTTCACAATTTTGTCAAAAAATCATAAAGTTCAACTCCGAAAACCCTCAGATACCATCAATCTTAAATAGAATCAGATCATCATCAGAAATTTATTTCGCTATACATTAGATCCGTCATCTTGAATTTTCCAAGTTTGACGAAACAATCATTATCTCCAACCCCGGAAAACCCCAGATACCTTCCAATTTTGAAAAGAATCGGATCATAATTACAAAACTCGTCCGCCATATGATCTTCCTCAACAACAACAAGTAAATACCCTGTACATACCAATTATCAAAATTTTGAATGATTTTCTGTAACGCCCATGGATGTGACGTGACAGCAATGTCAGTGATGCCAGTAGACAAAACTCAAGTCCCTGGACCATTAAAAAAGAATGCAGCTATGATCTGTCCGTACCCTGTTAAGATGACTTTAATGTCAATTTCCATCAAGGGACACTACTGACAACTACAATTTAGAAAAGATTCGACATTTTGTGCTCTTAGTTGGCAGCCATCACTGTCAAGTTCAGTGTCATTTGTCTAATGCACTGCCTTTTGTCAATGTCAAATATAATTAGTTTGAAAAACAACGACTCCAAGAAGTTGTTTTTATTATTGATAACTAACAATTCAACAATTTTTGATCTAATAGACATACAATGATTCTGACAGTGGCGCCGAAATCATTTATATTTGACATTTGAAAATATGGTCAATTGCTCCCTACTGCTGAATGCGTAGAAACTGGCAAACTGTCATTCGTGAAATCTGGTCATGTCTCTTGGTGTTCGGAAACATAACTAAGAGCCTTGACATTTACACTAATAAGATGATCCACCTCCATGTTAAATGTTGAATCCACATTTGGCCCTAGTTCTTGTCTGGTTCGTAAGCGGCGCTAGCAAAACTGCAAAATATGGCCGATTCGTCTATACTCTCGGAGTCTGTTCAAGTTCATCTATATCAATTCCGAAGCGAGAACATCACTAACTTCAATTTTCTGACTTTCAAGTTATAAATATTAATTAATAAACCAGTTTTAATCTAACCCTGATGCAGCATTCCTTTTCGCATAGAGAACAACTATTCATCTAAGAATGAACTTTGAATATTTCTGCATTACCGATCTCTACCCTTCGCTACTCAACGAAGAGTAGTTCACTTGTCGCTTATAGATACCGCCACCTACTGAATAATAAAATTTCTGGCTTCATTGCTCTCATAGGGATTAATCATCTTAGTGAAAATAATCAAAGGTAAGAGTGACAGGTCCTGAATGTCCACGCTCCCGTAAAACCAAGTTCTACCTTGGTAAACGAAAATGAGCTTTGATGTTGACATTGGTCGGTGATTGAGACTGAATAAGGTTCAGGGGCTCTATTCTCGAACCGTTCGAATTCAATTCGTATACGAATAAAGAAAGATGCACTTATGTATGTGTCGTATATTGAAGTGAAATAGAAGATCGAACTCGTATACGAATATCGCTCGAGAATAGACCCCCTGGTGATCATCAGCCAGAAACAGTTTACGGATACATTCAATTCTTCGCGTGACGTCATGTGCGTATAAGATTAGACGATTATTTATCATAGTGTTTCATGGTAAGAGTATATTGACATCCTGTCTCCAAATGTGTAAAAAAAGTTATACTACACTTACCAAACTCTGATAGCTCCAAGAAGCTTCTATTAGACTCTCACAAGCTGAATCTAAATCTGCATCATCAAAAATAATTGTTGGTGTTTTCAAAGTAGTAACTAAAACGACAATATTCCGAACATTGAAGTTGTTAAATTATAGAACTGAACTTACAGTTTACGATTTTTTTGTGGTAACTATTAAAACCACGACATTTTTCGTTTTGTAAATCTATGAAGAGAGCAAGAATAGCAACCTTCTCACTACTCAGATATGGTAATAATTCATAATCATCTGATGGAATCAACCTAAAAGCATCTTCATGGATTCTGAAAAACACAAGAGCAAAGAGGGATCGAATTATTAGACAATGCTCCAGTTATTCTAAGATACAATCATTAGTTAAACATGGAAAACACATTATGATATTTGCAAGACTAATGAAAAAGATTGAATCAATGAAAAATTGGGGAGGTGTTAGCTTCCCCCAGAGTCATCTGGGTGGCTCAGTTGAGGGTCATGTTTAACAAAAATTTAAAAAAAGTAGGATATTTGTAAATTACAAAAAAAAAGAATTTTAGGCAGGTAACAAAGTGAACAAACAGAATAGTGCATATTTACTGCTTTTCTGGAGCTATAGAATTTTGATGTGTTGGCTACTATTGGTTGAAAAATCATCAATGACCTCAAGATGATTTTCAACATCCATTGAAACAAATATAAACAAAATGAAATTCAGAATTGTGGAAAAAATTAGGATTCAGTTTATTGAAAAAAAAAAGATTTTGAACCACATTAAACTTACCCAACTGATCTGGCAATATCTTGAAGCAGGAATGCAGCTGGTGCTAGTTCTGTCCCTACTTGCAATAAAACATTGTATCCTGCTGATAGAGCAGGTGCCAGGAAAAGACTCAAATTTGATAAAGAGTTTTTATTTGAAAACACACCCACTGCTATTCCTATAATATGAAATTATCATGACAAATCCATTATACATATATATTCTGAAATGTCTACTGGTTGAACCACAAATCATAGAATTGGCTTACCCTCTGGTTTCCTTCTTGGATTTTTTTGAGTGGAAGATATGCAGTAAGCATAATAAAGGAAATATTCTGCAAATAGTGTCATCACCCATTTTTTTGTATCACTACCCAAGATGCCCCTAGACATAATTTCAATTTGGGTGAAGAGGTCTACATTTTTCTCAATTTCAGAGCTCAACCTGAGTGAATGAAAATAATTGTATTGTAATTGGCCTAGATATTAGAGGTACCTATGAAACTTGCTTTATCAATATGTTCCTTCTTTCTGTGGGTGTTACATCAAGCCATTGAGATTTTTCATTGCTTCTCATCAAAATCTTCTTAATTGTATCAATTTCTGGAACATATATTTTGCAGAGTTCTTCATGGTTGATATGGTTGTGAAGTATTGTAGGTGATCCATTGGGAGGTTCACCACTTTTCTCCACATATGTGAAAAATGTATTATTTTTTGATTTCAACCAATCCTTGAAGAACAATTATATCAGTTACCTACCCCCTTCGTCTTATTACCTAACTACAACCCAGTGTCAAGTGAGGAAGTCTAACTAAACTAAATGTTTTGCTCAATGCCATAAGTTTACTATTTCCAGAATAGAAAAACATGTCTCCTGTTCTGGAAGTGATACAAAACTAAAGAACCTCAGTGCATAATCTCAAATATAGGTACCTACTTACATTTGCTTTGTTCAAGTTCTCAATATTCTCTCCATATTTCATAGCATTAAAAAAATCCAAAACTTTGGTATTTTTCACCTTCAATTCTTTTTCTCCCATATTCAAGTTACTATCACCATTTATCACCATGTAGGGTTAATGGTTATCATGATTTTCTATGCTCATCATCTTATCATATCAATGATAAGGATACCATTCTGTTAATAATAATATATCGTGATAATTATTACCCGAAAAATGTCTGAAAGCTGGAAAATAAGCGTACGCTACCTATCGGAGATCTTGAAAGCTGTCAAAGCGGCGTGTTTACTTTGTTTTCATTTGTTCACATATGTTTTTTTTTCTGTGACGGGAAAAAAGTTTGCCATTTCATCTCTGTTGGCAGGTTATAAAATGTCACTTTTCATAAATTACTTTTTTCCCGTGGGAAAAAAGTGAGTACTTCTTTCCCGGATATATATCACATATATATACTCTGTTAATGGCTTTTGTTGTGCTATAGTTCCGAAAAATGAGTCAATAATACCGTCTCCGAGAAAGAACTGCAAGTCCTTTTATCTTCCATTCGACATCGCGGTTTCGTATATTACTAAACAACTACTGAATTCGCAATTTTTTGAAATCAAATCACAGAATTGAACTGACAGAAGTGACATCAGATATTTGATTACTTCAAAAGAATGATAAAGATGCCTATAAAACGCAGGTGTCCCTACTGTTAAAAACTTGAAATTTTATGTCCATACTTTTCAGATTTCGAAATAATGTGATATCTTCTCAATATTGATTCGTCCTTCGTTCTGTCACAGAAAAAAATAGTGTATTATACACGGGAAAAATATTAGATTTTAGCTCACGGTTTTTTGTCTCCCTCCGCTACGCGTCGGGAGACAACACAACCTGGAGCTAAAATCTACTACTTTTTTCCCTTGTATAATAAATAACTATTGTTTGTGCTTATTGGTCCCATGATCAAAACAAACCGCTCAGAAGTGTTCATCTCGTTGCCGTCAGGTGGAGCGACTCAGTGAAAAAACAGCTGATCTAATTTCATTGTCTAATTTGAATCATCGTCACAAGTGTCAATGTCACCGCTGTGACCGCAGTGTGGTCTCATGCCTGAGTCATGTCACTGTCACAAGTCACAACACTGAATTTATTATATATTTACATTGGAGAATTTATCCAGTTGTGAAATGAATAATAATTAATAAGTATTATTCATTCTTTGATGATGTGTCGTTCAGTATTTCTTTTATTAATATATTTTTCCACTACATCCCTACAAAATGACATCAAGGGCTTTGATGATTCAATACTATTCAGTTTAAATTGGCCAGGAGAACTTACTGAGGATATTAATCTTTCTGAAGAATCTATCCTAGTAACCTCGGCTCACCAAGAAAAGTACAAGTGTTTCTTACCTACTATAACAGAGGAAGATACTAAACTACAAGAAAAATATGAAGGACCCACTGCATTAGAGCTCATCTCACCACTTTTCACTGAAACCAGTTGCTCATTTCGACTTGAATCCTACTGGACATATGAAGTCTGTCATGGTAGATATATAAGGCAGTATCATGAAGACAGGGAAGGTAAAACAATAAGAATACAGGAGTATATACTGGGTAAATGGGATGACCACTATTTTGAGAATTTGCTTCTGAATGCTAAAGATGACATACCTGATAAAGAAACTAGCACCCCTATGAAAAAAATTGATAATGTGAACCTACCCTATTATGAAATTGTTATGGGCAATGGCACCCTCTGTGAATTGAACAACAACAAGCCACGTCTGACTAAAGTTCTCTATGTCTGTTACATCCATGGTAAACATGAGGTGTATTCATTGAAAGAAACATCAACTTGTGTTTATGAAATAATAATTCTATCACCTTTGCTTTGTACTCATCCCAGTTACAGACCAAAGGAGAGTGGAGAAAATAAAATAAACTGTGTACCTATAGATGGGAGCTACAAAATGCCTTATAGCCTTGCCAAATTAGCTCATGATTCTCAATCCCTGAGAAAAAAGTATGATTCAGATCGATTCAGAGTGGAACTCATCAAATTGAAGGAAGATGAACCAATCAGCCCAATAGAGAGAATAATGCCCCTTGTTGATAAATCACCAGTAGAGAGTTTCCTAAGAGGCAAAAACTGCCTGACAGGTGGCACTGGTTGGTGGAAATTCCAGTTTTGTTATGGAGAGTCTGTAGAGCAGTACCATGTTGATAAGGATGGTAAGAAGATATCCATCAATTTGGGTGTGTTTGATAGGAAAGCCCATCTTGATTGGATCAAGCAGAATCCTCATAAAAGACCAAAACCAATCTCTCAACGAAAACAGCTGTCTCATTTCTACTCAGGAGGGTCAGTTTGTGACAAAACAGGGAAAGCAAGGCAAACAGAGGTTAAATTGAAGTGTTTGCCAAATCCTTCCAGCCCCAATGCAGTCTCCTTATATTTGTTGGAGCCTAAATATTGTCAGTATATCCTAGGTGTGGAGTCTCCCTTAATTTGTGACATTTTAGCAAGGGCTGATGAAGATGGATTGGTTGCAGTGGATGAAAATGAAATTCCTAATAGTGACAGTAGTACAACTGTGAACATTAGACTATAGGTCAAAAATTGAGGTATTACCTAACAACTTTTTGTAAATAAATATTGTTTTGTTGTTGTTTTGTTTTGAAATATGTCCCATAAGTATTTATAACAAAATGGAATCATGTGAGAATGACTAGGTACTTGAAATAAATTCAAGTTACTGAAAAATGTTTTCTGGTAATTTTGATAACCCTTTTATTATTGTTGATAGCAGTTCAAGACTTCAAACACCCCAAAACCACCAAAACCATCACCCTGTAGTTTTTAATGGGGAGAAATCAACAACATAAGACTCATAGTACCAATTAGTTCTGCTATAGATTAATGAGTCTGTTAGACTAGTAGGAAAGTAGGAAATATAAATAATTATTGTAACGTTGATTGATACATTACGAGCATTAACCTACTATTCTTTGCTACTATTCTTTGGTAATATAATTATAGCCACCTTAGTAATATATCAATCAATCCATAGATTAACGACTCCCCATCAACCTCATCGATTGTAAATAGATCTTTGATAGCAGCGCCATCACCGGTAGTGGTTCTAATGAAGAAATACAGTTTACTGTGGATACAGAATATTACAGAGTTCTGCATTTTTCATAGTCGAAGCAGTCTTCAAAAACTTCATAGCTCTTCTACCGGCCGCACGGTATCACTCGCATGTATAATCTGAAATAAATTGAGTCATTATAGATATCGCAATGTATCGTACCCTTTCAAATCAACGGTCAGATCCATCTAGAAATATGCTTCACCTAAAGGTCTTATCTAAGATGCCTGTCTTATCCAGTCATATGCGGGAAACATTTCTAGGTCTCTCCATATGTAGTGGTCGACGGAGTTTCATCTGACTTTATCATAAATGCTGGTGTTCTGCAAGAATCGATTCTAGCACCAACACTTTTTCTACTCCATATCAACGATTTGTTGAAAGCAACTTCATGTCCAGTACAGAGCTTCGCGGATGATAGTACCCTCCATACCGCCTTCTCTTCCAGGGCTCCAATACCAGCTAGGCAAATTAGAAACGGAAAAGGAATAAATGTTGACAACTTAAATATGGACTTGGCAACAATTCTCGAATGGGGATCCAATAACTTGGTTGATTTCAATGCAAACAAAACACAAGTATGCCTTTTCTCTATAGGAAAGCCGATCTCACTGTGCCCAACATGAGCTTGTCAGGAGATGTCAGGAGTAACAATACCTTTGAAGACATCCATTTCGATGCTTCGGTATTACTATCAGCAAAACCTTTCTTGGGAAAATCACGTGAGATCAATTGCTATAGGTGCATCTCAAAAACTTGGTTTTCTGTTTCGGGCCAGGAGCTATTTCACTTCCAGTCAGCTGCTTATGACCTATAAGGCACAGATCCGATACCGTAGAAAAGTTGGCGATCTGGCTCTATTTTATAGATATTTTCATGGACTATGCTCTTCTGAGAAAACCCGGCCTCTTTCGTCAGAGACGTATCATACTGAAGTTATTGCAGGTGAAAACAATCATTGTCTAATGACGATTTATTATTAATATTAACGTCGCAATTTTTCAAGAATCTAATAATAAGTGTAGGACTAATTTTTCCCAGAAAATCTATCACACCGATACCCATTATCTCCTTACAAGCCATCAAATACTAGGATTCTAACCAAACCCCTTCAGTATGATACACTTATGATAGGAATTTGCAATGATTCAGCTCAGGATTTAATTTGGCGTAAAAAGTATGCAGTGTATACACCAAATTTCAAATTTTCTGTGTAAGCGGTTTGTAGAATATTGAGAAAAACCCGTCTTCAAGGTGCCGATCGAAGTGCCGATGCATTAATATGGAAAATTGCGATTTTTTCAAAAACAACTTTGCCCTATCGATTTGAATTATTCCCCTGACCCCCCTTCTGGATCCGCCCTTGCTCTTTGCACGTTGTCAAAACTTTTCGGAGTAATGGCATGCATTTTCCTTCGGATCTGCTTTTTCAACATGTCATTTGAGGTAGGTAACCCTAGAAAAGAAGTCCAACGGAGTTTGGTCTGGCAACATATAGGAGGCCATTTGCTACAGCTAGCCTCTCTCCTCCCTATTAGATTGCGGGAGCAACCATTTTGCAGGAATATAAATTATTATTCTTCATTCGGAAAGTTTGCTGGGTCCAAAATACATTTGGAAATGAAGCTACTATACAGGGTGAGTCGGGAGGAACGCACCAAACTCCAGGTGTGTATTGTACATGTAAAAATAATTTGAAAAAAAAAAACAAAAAACATATATTTTGATACGACTTTCATTTGTTTTCATTTCAAATTTGAATAGATTTGTGTCATTTTATAAGACTTTAATTGTACAAACTCGATTGTTTCATCTGTTTTGTTGTTCTGACATGTGTTCTTGTCAATGTCAGTATGTTTGACGCGTTTATTTTCGAGTTTGTACGATTACAGTCTTATGAAATGCCACACTTCTATTCAAATTTAGAATGAAAACAAATGGAGAATCGTATAAGAACATATGTTTTTTTTTTAAATTAATTATATCTGTACAATACACACCTGGAGTTGTGCGTTCCTCCTGGCTCACCCAGTATAATAATAATATGCCATATATAATTGATAAAAGAAACATGTTGAACACACGATGGAATATTTTCTGCTCGATTTGTAGAATGATAATAATCCTCATATAAATACCGTCTTATTTATATGATTTCTTCGATATGTTGTTCAGATATAAAACACCCAGAAATCGATGCAGACCTCGAAATTGAAAACTTACCATCTAAGCAAAGTTGGAAGCTATGTTGATGCAATGTTGAAGCAATTATTGAAAAGGACGTTCAGCATAATATTGCGAGGGTACAATTTGATAATTGAGCATTGCAGCGATATTACTTGTTGCTGTGTCATAACAGGAGAGATATATTTACAAATTTTACATTTCCAATATTGCTGAACGTCATCAATGTCAGCAATTGTGCTGGCAAAGATTACGTGCTGGACTTTAATCCCTCCAAAGCGCTTATCTCACTATACTACGCTTTCGTTCATAGTAAAATACCTTTTGCCTCAGTTATTTGGAACACTCAATATACAACTAATACAAAACGAATCGAAAGTGTCCAAAACAGATTTTTACGATCTTTCGCATTCAAAACACTCACAACTATACCGTATCATCAGATCCCTACATAATATATTGAGCTTATCAGATAGGAGAGTTGTAACAGAACTATGTACGTTTCATAAAATACTGAACTCCCTAATAGACTCGCCATATCTTTTGTCTAAAATCAATTTCAGAATCCCTAATGGATCCTCCCGAAATACGGACTTATTTGCAATTTCGGAGAGCAGCATTCTTCTCTGAATAGAATGCATAATCTTTTTAACAGATATTGTAATAATCTGAACATAGACATTTTCTCAATATCACTACATAGATTCAAAAAGATCCTCAAAAATCAGTTCACTCGAAATCGTCATGCAATGATAGTTTCCTATAACTAGATATATTATACTCGATATAATATCTACTCGTATTATGTATATCTTTTGTATTGTTCATCAAGACTTGTTAATGTTTTTATCTTCTTTCACATCAGGTACTTTAAATTTTCTTTGCTAACTATATAACTGATGTATAACTTTCCTCACCACGTAGCTACAATGTGGATGCTACTGTATGCAACCTGAAATCCTGAATAAATTGTCACAACTTAGATATACAACCTTGCATCAACATAGCTTTCAACTTCACTGAGTGGAAACAGGTAGGTGTTTCTATATATATATATAGGTAATAGTATATTATGTAAAACAAGTGTTATAAACGTCCTTTTAGTAACGAGTAGTTTAAGCACGAGCGGAGCGAGTGTTTAATAAACGAGTGTCTAGAAGAGTTTATAAACGTGTTACATAATATGATTTTTCTACGAAATCCAAAAATTACATATACCTGCAATTCCTGCTAACCTACAAAATAATTCGAAAGGAATGGTAATTGAGAACATAATACATGCAACTACATGTAACCAGCGAGACACGTATAAGTGATATTGGTTGTAGATGTGTCCAGTCCATTGCGCGGAATAAATAAATTGTTCTCAAAGATGGATGCTTCATTTTTACACTTCTTGGAGATATGCAAGTACCAGAACATTCTCTTCGATTTCACTTTCGTCTAATTTTCGCATATATTTTTAATAATGAATTCTGATACAAACGAATATTGTTTGAATAATTCTGATACAAAATTCGAAAATAACAGTTGACAGTTGATACAATTGACAGGCCAGAAATGTCTCAAATTACTGAAGCTGTGTTTAATGAACTGCGTTGTCATGGTAATGTGTTTAAGAAATCGTGTTGCCATGGTAACGTGTTTAATATTTTGAATAAATCACAGATCGACAATCCGTGATCAATCGATCATTTAGCGTGGTACATATCCGTACGCTAAATGCCATTTTAGTTATGTGAGTAGAAAAAAGAAATAATAATTCTTGGGCATTGTACGTACCATAAAAAACGCAAAAATAAAATGAAAACCGACCGAGCATTTTTCTAAAAAATTAACTACTCGAATGTTTAATGCATTCAGATAGCATTGCTTCCTGTTCAGTTGATATAGTAGATAGAACATGGTATTCAATACTGAAATCTGAAAATGAGAATGGTAAATTCAAGATTAATTAATGAAAATATCCCATGATTCATTTGATTGCCAGCGTTACCAATTGTCACTCAGAACTGGAAAGTGTCACGACAAATACGAATTTGCAATAAAAAAAAATAATTTTTTATGTTGAAAACGGGAGCAGATTCGTTCCCGAAACGTCCAAATAGATAAGTAAAAATTTGTAATTTCTCCTATATACCTTTATTTCTCTTCTCCAAACCTTTATCAATACAAATTGTCACTGACAAGCTGGTGAATTTTTCTTTTAAGCTCTCTGATAGGAAAATTCTTTGAACGCTGTGAACTTTTGGTGCAAATCGTCTGATTTGATCTGACTACACGTATAATAATAATAATAATAATAATAATAATAAATGATTTTATTGCAACAGATAGATAGGTACACATGGTAAATATAACTAAACGAATAATGAGTTGGTTTGTATCTCAATAATCGTAATAATATCATATGAACATGATTA